TGTTTAAGAGATAGGACTATGGTATAGATGGTCTTAGACTACCTATGAGACAAGGGTAAATGGACATGGCTTTAGTATAATAGGCTGATATGTCGGTAGTATCTTTAGGTTGTCAATCATGGGATTGGATACGTAGAGCATTTGGACCAAGTGCAAAGGTTGAATGGTATAAATGCCATTCACGAGGCTAGTAAGTCCCCAAGTCTGAAATAAAATTTATAAAGGTTGTGAGTGAGACTCTTTCAAGTGGTTGAAGGTGTGGTTAAAGTATAATAGAAAATTTAGTCACTTACAATAAATTAGTATCAATAAAATGGTATACTACCCTTGATTCACTATACTTGCAAAATTGCAAATAAACTTGCAATAATATCCCACCAAACTGAAAAAGAAATAAACATTTAATATAGTAGTAAAGACTTCCTAAGACTTCACCACTTATACATTTTTTGGATCCACCTCAACTACACCACCACTAATTATATGCCTAAGAAAGTTCATATATAATTAACCAAAATCACATTTCCTCTCCTTAGCATATAATTTATGTTCATAAAACTTCTAAAATACTAACTTTAAGTATTTCAAATGATCCTCCAATGTTTCACTAAAGACTAAAACATCGTCAACATATAAAATAATAAATGTGTCCAAATAATCTCTAAATATTCTATCCATCATTGTATTGAATGTAGCCAAGGCATTATATAGTCCCGAATGGCATAACAAGAAACTCATAGGATCTATAATAAATCTTAAAGACTATCTTCTCCACATCATGATCTACCACCCAGATCTGATAATACCCAAATTGCAAATCAAGTCATGTAAAACACTTTTGGTCAAACAAGTCATTAATGTGAGGTAAAGGATAATTATTATCTTGTTGAGAGCCCAATAATCAATATACATCTTTTTCATAGAAAAAAGGACCAGTTCTTCATAAGATGATTTATTTGGTTGGATATACTTTTGTCAATAATCTTCATAAGTTGCTTCTTGAGTTCAGTCATCTCTTTGATGTTCAAATAACAAAAAAAACCTAGAACAATCTCAATCCAATGATTAACCTCCCAACTAAGAAATAACCTTGGTAGTAAATCTTTTAGGAAGATATCACCATCACCCTCAGTTTCTCATCCCATGATCACCCCCCTTTCAGAGATGTCAATATTCTCATTAACTATTAATTAACAACCCCTATTGAACCATCATCTTCATTTCTACACTAAATCTACCAACCTTCCATTTCCATAGTGTAGACTAGCTATTCTAGTTGAAACAACTAGTTATCCATCCATACTATAATCCCATTATAGATACTTTCATCCGTGGATATGTGAATATTTTCATTAACTATTAACTAACAACCCCTACTGAACCAACATCTTTATTTCCGCACTAAATCTACCAATTCTTTCATAGTGTAGATTAACTATTCCAATTGGGATAACTAATTATCCACCCATATTATAGTCCCAAGGTGGATACCTTTGTCTGTGGATGTCCCACAAGAGGAAGAACATATGTATAGATACTTGCTACATATTATTTCAAATTTAAGGGTAAAAATATACTTTGCTCAAGGGTATATTATATTTTAAGTAGCCACTAATCAATGGGAATGTGCCATTTGTTCTAATACCACATGTAGTACATCTTATTTCTCTCCCCTTAAGTTAACTGGAAAAAAGGTAATTGCTTAATAAGAGAGCATTTAGTAGTTATTTTATCTTCATTTATCCCCGAAGGTTCCAAAAGTCCATAGTGACAGTATATCTAAATCTCATCCCTTAATCACATATGCTACACTTTTGACCTCAATGTAATACAACTTTGTCCAACACTATATATCCCTCAAATGTACTTGTTGAAGAAATCCATACCAAACATTATTTGATACTAAATCCATTCTTTCTTTCTATTTTGATATCTTTATGAGAACATCACTCATAAATTTTTTAGCTACTTGTCTATCTTTTGCAAACTAGAAATGTATGGGTGACAGTCACTCAGCTTTAAATCCTAACAATCTAAATCTTCAAATATTATGTTATGCATAGCTCTAATTTGTTCTTATATCTCGTAAGTTTTATTTGCAAACACCAAATCCAAGTGATGATTAACATGGGAGCTTAATTATAAAAAAAACTTGAGGAAAATAACTTACCTCCTCTTTCTTATAGTTTGCATTAACCAATTCATCAACCCCCTTAACTTTGCCACCACTATTTTCTCTTATGACATTGATACAAAATTTTGTCTTATGTTTATTAGGACATTTTAAGGATTTATAATCTACCTCTCCATAATGGTAGCAATGATCCACATTACCCATTTCACTAGGAACAGATTTTGCAAGTTGCTACTATTTGTACCCACTAAAAAAAGGAATAGAGGGCCTAGGATTAAAAGAAGCTGTCAATAGTTACCAACCACCACCTTGTTAACCATTGCTTATGAGCCTCTGAAGTAGAACCTTCTTTTTACCCTTTACTTTGTTTATTCCTACTAGAGTTTTAATTCTTATCTGAAGTAGAACCTTCTTTTTACCCTTTACTTTGTTTATTCCTAGAGTTTTAATTCTTATCTGAAGTACCAATGTATAACTGTTGATACTATTTCATAAGCAAGTAACTAAAGGCAACTTGCTATATAGTCTTCTTACACTCCAAATACTTCTTTTGCTTAAACTTCAAAATCTCATTACGAAAAAGTGAATTTAAATCTTCTAGGATATAACTTTAAGCATCCTTGTCACTTTTAAGCAAATGTATTAACATAGTGCATAAAATCCCCTAATTGCCTTAACTATCACAACTTTGCATGAATTCTCAAACAAAAATCATTTGGCAAGTATTTCTTTTGAATAAGAGATTGCATCTTTGTTCAACTTCTAATCTGCCCTATTTTAGCACACACTTAGTGCCACCAAGTTTTGGCATTTAATGAAAAAGGATTACACACATGCACATTGACATCTGCCATTATGAAATAGTTTTTATATTGTAGACCTAATCTTCCAAAACTTAATAATCTTGTATGGCTCTGAAATTGGGTGGTTTCAGGGGCTTGAAGTTTGAAATTCATGCAACCAGAGGTAGTTGGAAAACTTTTGAACTTGAAGAAGAGTTAAAGGAGCTATGGCTTAGCAAAACCACAACATGATTCACAAAATAGGGCTAGAAGATGGTAGAACATTAGAAGATCTAGACATAAGAATCTTAGGCAAGAGCATCATAAAGTAGTGTGGAAGGATCTTGAGTCTAATAGTATAAAAGGCAAGAGTTTGAAGACTGAGTTGTGGAAGAACTCCAAAGCAGACTTGCATAAATTCAAATAAGCTTGGAAACACTCTGTTACCACAATTGATCACAAGCTACATAAAGATTTATAACTTTTCTCTGGAAGGAAACTCTCTCTACAAGATTTAAGAGCCAATGCTCATAGTTGTTGGGGCCTAATCTCAAAAACATACTACAAACTCAATAATGCAAGTATGTAGAAATAATCCAGAAAATAACCAGGGCAAACTCACTTTCCTAGTGTCAATCCATCCCTAACTGGCAAACTCAACTATACCAAAATGCCCTTGGAGAAACTCAATCATCATCCCATAGAGGAATCTTAGTGTGGCTTCATGGAAACATGGCATTCCCAAGCTTGTTTAAGTTATCCCACCAGTCTGAGAGAGAGAAAGGAATGTCTAGCATTTTTTTGGTCATGACTACATGAATTTGTGAGGACTTCTGGTAAGCCATATAAACAGGGTGATCTCAAGCGTAGAGAGGTGTCAAACATCACTTAGAGAGAGAAAGAAATGCTTATATGACCAGGAATTAGCATTTGTGAGGCAAACCCATATAGGCCAATGGAGAAAAGCCCTCGTTAGGCTGGATTGGAGTTGGGCGTACCTAAGATAGGAAGTTAACAAACAAGCAACAGCCAACCACCACATGGTACCCTTCTGCTGCTGCCACATGGATCAATCTTGACTTGGACTGTTTGCCCCACCCTAGGAGGTAAAAGTTCAATAGTAAAGTTCCTGTTTAATTCTTTTTCATCATCGTTGGTGTAGATTGTCATAGCATTCGCAATCAATCACTTCTTTCTGTCTCCTTTTAAGCGAGGGCAGATTATTGCATCTGACATTTCCATATTGAATTTCGTTCAATTGTTCTTGGTTGCTTGTTTTATGAATGTCCCACCATACAAGCAATCATCCTTTTGTTCCTTTGTTGCCCTCGTCAATCTCATTCAACTCACCACAAATTAGGAGTCATGTGTCTCAGGAATCTGCCAAAAGACCTTGTTACATGACAGCTTAAACTTGTCCTCCAACTGCGCCAATGTGAGCATGCTCTCTCTGTTCTCCACACGCACCAATTCCAGCTGCTGTTTCTTCTTCTTCTCTCCCATTAACCCTAACTAGCCCTTCAAATCCAATTAAGATCTTTAATTCAGGTGAGCGCATTCCGAACAGGCGGAAAGAGCTCATGATCAGGTGCAATACGTTGCAGCCTATTGTGTTCCAGGTTGCCCCTCCTAAGGAGACTAAGCCAAAAGAACAGAGCAGCATAGCATCTATACTACCAACCACGACATTTTCAGGATGCATGAGCGAAAAAAAATATTTTGAATCTAGCAACAATAAACCCTAAACCCAAGGTAGCAGGCAGTAATGAAATCATAGAAATTGAGGAATGGACGGCTTTCCACACAACAATGCACTGTGCTGCTGTGATTGTTCTTTCTTTTTCCTACTTCCCGGACTGCTTTTTTTGTTCTATTAGTCTACACTCGATGGAAATGCAGACAAAAGAATGGATTCGTTTTGCAAAGAACAAACAAGGCTGTATATTTTCTTTTGGTTTTGGATTTGGACTCGCGTTTAAGACGTATCTTTCCTGCGAGCGTGGTTGCGAGCTGCGTCGCTCCACACAGTGGTTTATATCGACAAAATGGTAATTTTCATGTCATTATACCATTTAGAGCTAGGCTTAGGGTTTAGGAGAGGAAGCCATGGCGCTGTTCTTGTGTGGCGCTCTGGCGGCAATGTACGTGGGAGTGCTCTACGCGCCGCCCATTCTACTCAAGATCCGGGCAAAGACGCAGCGCCAGCTTCTCCTTCAGCGATTCGTCTGTGCTACTCTCGCCTCAGTGCTGTCACCGCTTGTGTGTTTCATCATTCTTCCGGTGGGATCGTCCAGCAAGCTCAATTTGATGGGAATTCGATCGGATTACTTGGTAAGTCTAGTTTTCTTTTAGGCCTACAATGCTTCACATTTTCTTTCTTCTTTGTTAGATGCAAGCCACGCTATATCCTTTGCTGCTCACTGCCTTGCTGTATCTCGGTCCTTTGTTCGTGGAGCTTTTGGAACTTATCGATGGAGAACAAGGCGCCGCTAATGATCACGGTTTCATGGCAAGCTTGATTTTTCTCGGGCAGGACGTGGTTGCCTGGCGGAACTACGTTGTGGTAAAATTGTTCTTCTTTTTGCTAGATTTTTCTTTGAGATTTTTCTTTGTTTCAGGCACCGCTGTCGGAGGAGATTGTTTTCAGAGCCTGCATGATTCCTCTTCTTTTATGCGGAGGGTACTCGCCTACAGCTGCCATACTCATCTCTCCAACATTTTTCAGCTTAGGTGAATCCAGGTAACCTCTGTCCTTTGGTTTTATAGAACTTGGAGTAATCTCTCTTAAGCATTCCTTTGGACTATTGCTTTCATCTGATTAATCTCGAATCGTTGCAGCACACGTCCATAGATTCTGGGAACTCGTTCATCACGAAAGATACACCCCCAAAAGAGCCGCCTTTGTCGTAGGCAAGTTTTCCTTCCCCTCCTGCTCGTTTCTAATCCTACAAGCTACTCTTTTATACTTTCCAGTTGCTCAACTTGGGTACACAATCGTGTTTGGCTGCTACGCCGCATTCCTCTACGTTCGAACAGGTTCGAGCTTTAAAGTTATTCCCAGCGTCGTCCATCATGATCCAACACAATGCCCTTGTTGTGGTGATCGATCGCAGGCCATCTCATTGCTGCCGTAGTTCCTCACATTTTTTGCAACATCATGGGCTTCCCGGATCTCGTCCGTGCCTGCCAAAACCGAGGTTTGATTCGCAATTGCTCCATCGCTCGACTCACCCACTAACTCTCAACTTGGTTTTCATGGTGTTCCTCAAAAACCAACTAGTCCTGGCCGTGGTACACATCGTCGGCCTCGTTGCTTTCATGGCTCTCGCGGCCCCTCTCTCGAGCCCCGCCTTGTACAACAACGATGTTCTCGATTGTAAATGCTGGCAGGGCTTCTGCGGGGCTTCATCATCATCAAAACCATAACTTTGCCGCTGCCAAAGTTAAGATGATCGATCATAACGCACACAAGCCAAGTATTTCTTCAAAGAAGCTTAAGCTAAGATCCATCCAAACGAAAACCCACACGTTGTTACTATGACCATCAATCAATCCATCAACAAACCCAAGTCAAACGCTTGATGCTTCCAACACAACACAAGGAAAGGGAATCCAATGCTCCAATTCCACTGCTCCATTCAAGGCTCTTTGTCTTTCGTGGTCACACCAACATTTAAGTGAGACGAGTGGAGTTTTCTGTCCAGAGCTTAAGTCTCATTCTCAAGGAGGAGTTTGTGTCACTCGCTATTTAAGCCAGAACAATGTAATGTGTGTGTGGTCTTGCGTGACAACAACACAAACCTAATCAAGAAAACTCGTTTGATCGATCAACCTTGACTCCAATCTCTTTGCCCTAGTGAAACTAATCATCCCAATGCTTTAAATGCCGCCCCTCTGGGATTGGCTTGTGGATAATTCCCACCACTAGCAAGCGTGCACACTCGAAACGGAGAGAATATAACCGCCGGACACGCGCGGGTTCGAATCCCATCCCCGCCGGGCGTTTCCTCTGGCAAATCTAGGCCCTTGATTCGAAATCCCGCTCTTTTTCTCTCGCTACAAATAAATAGGCGCCGAGGAGGAGGAGGAGCGTAGGGAAGAGAGGGAGCGCCGGCACCTCTATTCTTTTCGATCGCTCGCGCCTCGCCAGCGATTCGATCGATCTTGCTGGAATTTCGTGCCCGATCTGCGCAGAATCTGTTCTTGGCTATGGTGTAGGGGATATTTCGGGCGGTATGGAGAGCTGCGGTGCTGCTAGGGATTGATAGCAATGGCCGCGATCACGGCTCCGGATTCCAGTGTTCTGGAGCGATTCCATCACTCGTCGTCGCCTTCTCCCCTGCGTTGCCATCCAGCTCGTCCCCGGCAGCTCCAGCTCGGCGACCTCCATCATCAAGAATCGCGGCGCAAGACGGAGGAAGCAGGAGGATTCGACGATCGCCCAGACGCCGCGGCGGGCAACAATGGGAGCATGGATGATTGCGAGCAGCGCAGCGGCGGTCGGGAATGCGGGGAGGACACGGCGATGGCCGTCGATGACGATCAAGGCTGCCACACTCCCAAATTCAAGGCGTCCAGGATCCAGATGCTCCAGTGCCCGCCGGCTCCTCGCAAGCGCAGGGCAACGGTGGCCAGGGCCGCGCCGCGCCGCATCGACTACTTCATCATCCACGATTTCGATGCTTTCTTCCCCCATCGCGATTCCTCCAAGCTCCTCCAGGCCTGACTGATTGACCGCCGCCTTGAAAGGTACGGCGCTCTTGTACGGTTGTAGGACACTGACTCCTGCCATAGTTTTCTTGCCCATGATCAATCAAACAACTGTGGCATTTGTGGTTGCCCACATCTCGCGAGAGATTGTTTCTTATCAGAAATCTTCAGGTATCTTTGCTTTTAGCTTTTTTCTTACAATTCTTGGACTTTGTTTTCGATTAGCCTTACGTGGCGGCTCATCGTGGTCTGTCTGGTGGACTCTGGGCGCCCAGGACCACGAGAAGCACGCGCCCAAGGTCCGTGTATAAATCCGAGATCCCAGATCTCCCCTTGGGCTTATACATTGCAATCTCTCCAGGTCGAAGCTTTGCGCAAGAGGATGCCTGCCAGTGGAAAAGAGAAGCCCCTCAAGGACGTCCCGGGCAGCTATGGCGTCCCAGTCGTGGGAGCTCTCAAGGATCGCCTTGACTTCTACTGGTTCCAGGGCGAGGTAGAGTTCTACAAATCCCGGATGGCGAAGAACCAGAGCACAGTCTTCCGTGTCAACTTCCCGCCGGGCCCGCCGGGCTTCCCCGAGGGTCATGGCATCGTCCTCCTCGACCAGGTCAGTTACTCCGTCCTCCTCGACAACGCCAAGGTGGACAAGCGCGACACGCTGATTGGCTCCTACATGCCCGACCTGGCCTTCACCGGCGGCTACCGTACGCTTCCGTACCTGGACACCGCCGAGGAGAAGCACACCACGTACAAGTCGCTCATGTTCGAGATCCTCCACGAGAGCGCGCAGCGATTCGGGCCGGAGCTGAGCAGCGCCTTCGATCGCACTGCCCAGGAGTGGGAGGCGAAGATCGCCAAGGATGGCTCGGTGGAGTCGCTGAGCACTGCTGGAAACATGGTGATCCAGTTCCTGTACAAGACGATCACTCACCAGGACCCCATGGCGACCATGGGCGATGATCCACACTCGGTGTACATGGCCTGGACGGGCGTCCAGTTCGCGGGGATCGCCTACACCAGTCTCCCTCACATCACCGAGGAGCTACTCATGCACAGCTTCCAGCTCCCGTTCTTCCCGATCAAGAAGAAGTACGAACAGATCGTCGAGTTCTTCCGCTCCGCCGGGTCCGGGCTCTTGGATCTGGCCGTGACCAAGTACGGGCTGGATCGCGAGGAGGCGCTCCACAACCTCGTCTTCTCTTTCGGGATCAACACTCGACTTGGGCTGCTCAAGATGTTCCCGCCGATCCTTTTCTTCATCGCGCGAGCCGGGGCGGAGTTCCAGGCCAGGCTCAAGCAGGAGATCCGCGGGAGGATCAAGAAGCGCAAGGACGCGGCCTCGATCCAGGCGCTGGGGGATCTCAAGCTCGTCAAGGCCACTGTGCTCGAGGTGTTCCGGCTCATGCCATCAATCTTCGTGGCGTTTGGGCGCGCGCGGCAGGATCTGGAGGTGGAATCGCACGACGCGCGATACAAGATCAAGAAGGGCGAGCTGCTTGGCACGCACCAGTACTTCGTGATGAGAGATCCGGTGGTGTTCAAGGATCCTCACAGCTTCGTGCCGGATCGATTCATGGGCAGCGAGGGCGCGGCGCTGCTGCCACACATCGTGTGGTCGAATGGGCGCGAGACGGACTCGCCGACGCCCACCAACAAGCAGTGCCCGGGGAAGAACCAGGCGGAGCTCATCGCGGTCCAGTTCATCGCGGAGATGTTCCTGCGCTACGATTCGTGGGAGGTGACGCAGGAGTCCAGCGTGAGCGCCACCAAGCTCGACGTCCATCTCTGCAAGCTCGTCAAGCGATCCTAGAGGCTCTCTACAAGAACCCTAGTTCTAACGGTCATTTGACCTTTCAATAATCCTACTTTATTTTAATGCAAATAACTTTGTTTGGTAGTCGGGGGTTCGAATCTGGGGCTGGGCGTAAAACCCTCTTCCCGCTTTGACAGCGGCGAGGGATTCTTTCTCTCTCTATGGCGACGCGGAGGAGGCGCGCCGCCCAGGGCAAAGAAGCAGCCGTCGCGCCGCGGAAGGTGGATGAGGCTCCAATGCAGGTCATCACGATCGATGACGAGGACGAGGTATGCTGGTGTGGGATTTTCTAGCGCTCATTGTTGATATTCTCGGCAGGAAATGCCCTCCGCGCCGCCCCTCCCATCCGCCAAAGAGACCATAGTATTAGCGGCTGAATCTCCCGTGTCGGTCCTGGAAGGCGAGGCAAGTTCTTTTCTTTAATGGCTGAGATTTTCTTCTCACGGTTTTTTTTTCTCTCTACTGGGTTTGTGGGTGCAATGCAGCTCACAGATGCTATGATCGAAGTGGAAAAGCAGCTCGAGGTGGAGAGAGGCAAGAAAAGCAAAGAAGAGGAGAATCAAAAACAGGCTGAAAGGCCTAGCTCCAACGGATTGCTGCTAAAGCTCGACGAGCTTCTGACCAAGACGAAGTGGTTTTCGCAGTTTGTGCACGAGAGAATGGATGAGATCAACAACCAGAAGAAACAAGTAAGCTTTTTTGGAGCCACTCCTTCCTGTTCACCACATTTTGATGAACTTGGTTTCTCTACAGATGGACGAGAGAAAGAAGCGAGGGAGAAAGCGTAAAAAGGGTGAAGTGGAGGACGAAGTTGTCACGGAGGAGGAGAAGAATAAAAAGCTGCAGCAAGAAATCGCTCCCTCGGTAACTGGAGGAGTACTAAAGTCGTACCAGTTGAGAGGAGTGCAATGGATGATGGCACTATATCAAAACGGGTACAGTGGTATTCTGGCAGACCAAATGGGACTCGGAAAAACCGTGCAAACTATCACTTTTATCGCTCATTTGATGGAGAACGGTGTGAAGGGACCTTTCCTTGTGTGTGCTCCACTGTCGACGCTCGCAAACTGGACAAGGGAGATCTCGAGGTTTGTTTTCTGGGCTTTTTCACTCGTTGGAGGAACTAATCACCGGTCGAGCATGCAGATGGTGTCCAAGCATGAAATCCTTGCTTTATCATGGTACCAAAGAAGAGCGAGCTGAGAAAAGGCGTAAACATATGCCCCGCAATGGCGAATCCCTCCCGGTCATTGTGACCTCCTACGAAGTTCTCATGGTCGACATTTCTCATTTCAAGCAGTTCAAATGGACCTACGTTGTCGTAGACGAGGTAAGTGGTTGCTTTAAACGAGGGATTCTTTAGCTAATGCGCGTATGTTTATTTTCAGGGGCACAGACTAAAGAACCACGATTGCAAGCTCTTCAAAGAGCTTAAGAAGATGAAGATAGAAAATTCTCTTTTGCTGACAGGAACTCCCTTGCAGAACAAGCTACCCGAGCTCTGGTCTCTATTAAACTTCATTCTTCCAGACATTTTTTCGAGCCTGTCCGATTTCCAAACATGGTACGCATGCATTTTGCACGATTTAAAATTTGTACTAACGTCTTCCATCAAAAGGTTTGCGTTTGCCGAGCGTGAAAACAATAGTGACGAGGAGCGCGATGAGACGCGAATTGAGGCAAGTCCTCCAATAGTATCACACTATCAACTCATTCTTCTTTGGTATGTAGGTTGTCAAGAAGCTTCACGACATTCTTCGACCTTTTCTATTGCGAAGAATGAAGTCGGAAGTAGAAAAGACTCTACCGAAGAAGACAGAGATACTCTTGTACGCTCAAATGTCGAAGATGCAAAAAGACTTCGACTGCAAGCTTATTAGGAGAACGCTAGAGGAATACTTACATCAGGCGGCCACTCCTGGTATTTATCGTTCATTTTCTCACAAAAACTTGCTAACGCAAAACATTTTAAATTAGGAACATCAAGAAAGAAGAGGCTTAACAATGTCTGCATGCAACTGAGAAAGAACTGCAATCATCCGGATCTTTTGCGCCAAGAATTCAATCAAGACTGTAAGGCAGCTTGTCTTTAAAAGTTTTCAAGTTTTTTCTAAACTTTAAAACCAGACGACTGGCCTCCCGTGGAGCAGCTGACAGCTGAATGTGGGAAGCTCAAGTTTCTGCTTGACAGGCTACTTCCACCGCTGAAAAGTCGAGGCCACAGGGTAAGCTAGAACACTTTGTATACGGTTGCGACTCGTTCGAACAAATTTATATCGCTGCTTTCAGGTTCTTATTTTCTCTCAAATGACAAAGATGCTGGACATCCTTGAGTTTTGTCTCGGAGAAAGGGGGATGCCACCGTTTCGTTTGGACGGAAACGTCAAGCAAGAGGACAGGCAAGAGCAGGTGATTACGTTCTCTCGTTTTGCCAAATACATAAATCTTCTTTTGTGTCAGATTCAAAAGTTTGAAGGAGGGGAGGGATTCGTTTTCCTACTTAGTACTCGAGCTGGTGGACTTGGAATCAACTTGACTTCCGCCGATACTGCTATCATCTACGACAGCGATTGGGTAAACTCAAGCCTGTTTCACCTCAGGAGAGCTAAGCTTACTTCTCTTTTTGGTTTCTATCTTCACGCAGAATCCACAAATGGACTTACAAGCAATGGATCGCTGTCATAGGATCGGGCAAACCCGGCCAGTGCATGTGTATCGCCTCGCAACAGCACACTCTGTGGAGGTAAATGCTGTGGTTTCAATTCTAGTTTCCCAGGATGAATGATGTTTCCTTCCAGTGCCGGATGCTGAAAGTTGCGAACAGCAAGCTCCAACTGGAAACACTGGTTATCAACAAAGGAGAGTTTCAACACGAGAAAGACACCGGAAAGACCACCCTCGACGTAAGCTCGCAAAAGAAGCTTTTGGAAGAACTTCTCTCACTCTCGATTGATTTGATTCGTGCAGGAGTCGGACCTTCTTTCTCTTCTCAGAGACGAACGAAGCGAAGAGGAAGAGCTCGTCCAGAGCTCCGAGATCAGCGACAGTGATCTCGTCACGCTGCTCGATCGCACCGGCGGTTGTTCGATCGACGAGGAAAAGCCCATCAGAGGACCCGGCTGGGAGATCATTCTCAACAAAGCCGCCAAGAATTTCCTCCCCCCTGCCGAGGGGTCGGCGTGATCGTCCCATCCATTTTTTTTTGTATAGCTATGGAAGAAAAAGGTATATAGACGTTAGTACAAAATATGCCAAGGAATCTAAGCTTCTGGAAAGCCCTAGAGTTAGAGGAGCGATGTTTGGGGGCGATGTGTTCTTCATGGATCGCGCGGAGAAGCCGCGGATCACCGGGCGGACGGAGATTCGCAGCCCCTACCATTCTTTCTTTGGATCGCGCTACCTCGAGGTATGGATTCCAGGGAGGGAATGCGAGAGTTTGAGTTTCTGTGTGGTGTAGCAAATTTTGGAGTCCAGCGGGAGCTCGATCGATGGGCTCCAGTTCTCCAATTTGATGTCGCGGTCGCTGCTCAGGGATATGATCGAGCTGGCTCATCGGCACGGGATTTATGTGAGCTCCGGTGGATGGGGCGAAGATGTTCTTGGGGGCGGCCGGAAATCTTTCAAGCAGTACGTCCAGGTGCGATGAGAATGAATGAGAAGTTCTTTCTCTTGTCGATCGTTTCTAATGCCTTTCTTGTGTTCTTATCGATTTTTCTTCCAGGACTGCAAAGACCTTGGCTTCGATATGATCGAATTTGATGTTCTGTGTGACAAGATCGCCAAGGACGACTTTCTCTACCTGACTCGCATGATCAAGAACGAGGGTCTCAAAGCCAAGCCTGGACTTTTCCTCTTCGAAGAAGGTAAAGTTCTGAAGACTAGCTTTCTGATCGATTGATCCAAAGTTTGCTCTTCCAGATGCCAAAACTATCATCGAAACCGCCGAGAACTTCATTGGAGCTGGTGCGGATGTTATACGGCTCGAGTCCGATCTAGACATCCTCACCACTGACGTAATCGCCAAGCTGATCGAGCGAGTGGGATTGGACAGACTCATCTTTCAAGCCAGGGAGCCCAAGGTGTTCGAGTGGTTCATCACAAACTACGGTCGACAGGTACCGAATGAAAACAAACACTCGAGATCGATCACAGCGAATCGAAACTGTGTTTTACAGGTGAATCTGTTCGTGGATCACTCGCACGTTCCTCAGCTGGAATGCCTTCGCGCGGGAAAGGGCCGTCGCCCACGTCCTCTTTTCGCTCCTCTGTTATAATATTTACGAATACTAGTTGAAACAAAGAGATTAAAAAGATGTGTTATCGGGATTCGAGTGAAAGTACATATCAATTAACCTAAAAACTCTAGTTTTATATAACAGATGTTACGGTTAAGAAACTACATGGTTGCATTATAGATTTGTCTTTTCTTTAAGGATTCCTAATGGGAACTAAAAGATTTTACCCAATACCTGAAATAGAAAAAAAAAAATAAATCAAGCCAAAAGCAATCTTTTTATTTTAGCAGATAACCCGGACCTTTTACATACCTAAGGGTTATGGCGAAACGAGCGAGGAAGATCTTTGAATCAGCAAGTTTCAGGCCTCCAACTGAGAAGGACCTCACCTTCGAATGTCTCGCTTCATGGGTGAGATCCAATTTTGCATCGGGGGAGATAGATGCAGTTGCGGGTTGGCTGCACTCGACCGGTAGTAAGCGAACGCGGCTGGCAAATCTCAACACTAGGGAGGAGTTTCTGGCTGCGGTGGATAGCATGGCTGAGGAGTCTCTGAATATCAACGTCCGCATGTGGCGGGCTCGCAGAGGAGCAGCGCCGGGCATGGGGATAGCACAGAAAGCTTTCTTCGACTATCCACTTCAGGACATGGACATACTGGAGGAGCTGTGGCGTAAGATCGAGCAGGATTACATGACCTGGATAACGCCCGGCTCCAGGTATCTTGCGCCGTACTTTGCTGTGGTGCAGGGCAGCGGCTGGGGGAAGTCAAGGCTCGCGTGTGAGCTTCACAGGAAAGGCTTGTACACCATCTATGTCTCCTGCATGAAGGTTGACTCGGCTGGAATGCCCGGCCGGACTCCACATTTGGCCGACTGGATCTGTACGACAAACGCAACGGCACTCAAGATGACTGCGTTTCTAATTGCCAGCATTGAGGCTCTCGGAGAGTATGTTGGGGAAGGCATTCCGGAGTCTGACACTGGAAACTCTAAAGAAGAAGGCGGCGGAGGTCCTAACCCGGGTCTCTGGATTTTGAAGCAGACGCATCCTGAGCATGGATTTCCTATAGCAGCCATGATACGTGACAAAATACCAGGCTGTCTGGAGCGTCTTCAAGACTCTGCAGTTGTGGCGCAAGAGGCGCCCGGCCTGATAACGTTTGAGCGTCAGACCACAAACTTTCTGTGGGGGGAAAACCATGTATACCGTACTGTGCAGAGAGCCTTGAAGGCTGCCATCGAAAAGTTGCCTGTGCTTGGCGTTGCGGGACCCGACGGCAAGCGGCTGAAGGTGTTGTTTTGCTTTGACGAGGCTAGAACGTTGGCGGATACTGAGTTGGCGGATGAAATGGATACTGGATTCACACTTTTAAGGCGGGTTCTCAGGACAGCATCTTCTGGTCTTTGGGCAGTAATGCTTGGTACGAATCCGCGCTTGTCAAATTCTGTGCCGGCGCAAGCCTTGGATCCGACAAGAAAAGTGCCCTCTCGAGACTTTAAGCTGTTCAAGCCGTTTTGGCTAACAGGGACAGCGGCACCTCCTCGGCCTGGTGGAGCAGAATCTGTCTTCCGCCTTGGAAGGCCTCTGTGGCGCGCTTTTATCGACCGAGGGTGCAGTCCTGAAAAGTTGCTCGGCCTTGCGAGGGACAAGCTTAACCTGCAGGAGGAACTAAAAGATGAGATGGTGGTTGGTGTTCTCGGGTGCACTGTTGGAGTGGAGGTTGCATCATGGTCGGAGGTGGCGGAGCTCAGCATGGCCCATCATATGATGACGGCATCGTGGATTTCCGAAGACATGCAACGAGTTCACGTCTCTAATGCTGCTGAACCGGTTCTTGCATCAGCCGCAGCATCAGTCTTACTTGACAAGAACAAGCTCTGCAAGATTCTTGTGTCCGTCTCCAAGATGTGCAAGAAAGGCGTGGTTACTGGTGATCCAAGGGGAGAGATGGTCACCAGGTTACTAGTGCTGCTAGCCATGCTCACGTGTCTCAAAGGCAAGAAGGACGTGATGTACACAAAGAAGATAACACTCCGAGAGTTCTTGACTACGCTGCTGGGAATGGTTCCAGACGGTCTAGCAAGCACAGTTCACTTGGACGCTGAGCTCCAGTTTAACAGCTTCTCGCCAACTTACGGAAGGTTGGATGCCGCCCTGATCAACGACTGCTCCCAACACTATCGAGCATTAACGTGCAAGCCCGGACAGAAGGCCGTTCACAACGTTCTGCCAAGCAGCAAGGGTGCGATTGGGATCCAGGCAAAACGATGGGAAGCTGACAGAAAGACTGGCATGGCAAAAGCGGTTGAGAAGCTTGAGGCTGGTGTTGATGGCGTGGGGTTCATGCTTAGTCTTGTTTTCCAGCTCGGCTCACCTGATAATCGTGTGAGTGTTGAAGGTTCTGCCCAGCAGACTATAGTTATTTACGGGCTGTCTCGTCAGCTGTTCCCGTTTCTTTTAGAGGATTCTGTTGTGGATGCAATGAGGGATGTGCTGAAGCTCAACACCCGTGGTCATGTTCTGCAGATGACTGACACGGAGGAGGATATTGTGAAGCGCATGCTTCCATTGTCATATCCCTAAGGACCTGTTTGGAGATAAGTATCTGGTGCTGTAGCTACATTCTTAGTTGGAGATGTAGGAATCATATAAAATACTTGTCTACAAAACTCAAGGCGAAAGGAGCGTCATGCATCACCCTTTGGTGACGATGGTCAGTGGCAGATATATGTCGTGGCATTAGGGAATTTCTTCGAGCAATGTAGTGCAGTAGCTCCCAGAGGGTAGTTTGGTTTCTAGGGGAGTACATGTGGGAGAAAAAAGGTTGAACACTTTACAACTCCAGGAATAATAATAAACAGAGCGTGACTTTCTTTTGTGATCATTGTGTGGTTTTTTTGTGCAGAATGCTTCCATTGATCAGACGGCAAGAGTGGAGGCAGCCAAGAAATGCGAAGAGGAGAAAGTTGGTAAAAAAAAATTCTTCCAAGTTGGTGTTGAGAGTGCGCCAGGTATAGGCATACCACCTAGCATTGCATGTAGTATATAAAAAAAACACCACCTTTAACCGTAGAAAACATTTACACCTTACCATTATCAGTATGAAATAAATCTCTAATTTATTGCAACATTTGATGTATATATATTAGCTAGAAGTGTTAAATGTGTACCTTCGTTATGAAACTATGGTCTTCCAAAATTATGTTCTAATTAATATTAAAACTTATAATATCTAAAAGTGTACAATCAAACCATCACATAACAAACATGTAAGTAAACACTACTTAATGTGCTTATATCACGTTCCTTTTTTCTCTCAAATGACAGACATCCTTGAGTTTTGTCTCGGGGAAAGGGGGCCACCGTTTCGTTTGGACGGAAATGTCAAGCAAGAGGACAGGCAAGAGCAGGTGATTACGTTCTTTCGTTTTGCCACACATAAATGTCAGAGTAAAAAATTTGAAGCAGGGGAGGGTTTCGTTTTCCTACTTACTACTCGAGCTGGTGGACTTGGAATCAACTTGTTGATTTCTCTTCTCAAAGAGGAACGAAGCGAAGAGGAAGAGCTCGTCCAAAGCTTCGAAATCAGCGCGTCGCGCTGCTCGATCGTAGCGACGGTTCTTCGATCGACGAGGAAAAGCCCACCAAAGGACTTTGCTAGAAAACGTTAGTACAAAACTAAGCTTCTGGTCAGAGGAGCGATGTTTGGGCGATGTGATCTTCATGGTCGCACGGAAAAGCCGGATCACCGGGCGGACTCCCATTCTTTCTTGGGATCGCGCTACCTCGAGGAAGGGAGGAACTGCGAGATTGTGAGTTTCTGAGTGGTGTAGCAAATTTTGGAGTCCAGCGGGAGCTCGATCGCTGGGCTCCAGTTCTCCAATTTGATGTCGCGGTCGCTCAGGGATATGATCGAGCTGGCTCATTGGCGCGGGATTTATGTGACCTCCGGTGGATGGGCCGAAGATGTTCTTGGGGGCGGCCGGAAATCTTTCAAACAGTACGTCCAGGTACGATGAGAATGAATGAGAAGTTCTTTCTCTTGTCGATCGGTTCTAATGCTTTTTTGTGTTCTTGTCAATTTTTCTCCAGGACTGCAAAGACCTTGACTTCGATATGATCGAATTTGATGTTCTGTGTGACAAGATCGCCAAGGATGACTTTCTCTATCTGAAGAACGAAGCCTGGACTCTTCCTCTTCGAAGAAGGTGAGTTCCAAAGACTAGAAAAAACTATGTTCTTAAGCATCATCGAAACCGCGGAGAACTTCATTGGAGCTGGTGCGGATGTTATAAGGCTCGAGTCCGATCTTGACATCCTCACCACTGAGGTAAGCTGATCGAGCGTGTGGGATTGGACAATCCAGCGAGCCTAGAATAAAAGTTGAATATGCGATACTCACCGAATATGCTAAACTATTTGATGCTCTAGGAATATGCTAGGTTTGGATTTATTAGGGCTCTTGTGGCCGCCTAGGGTTTGTATGCAAAGGCAAGGGCACTCAGTCGATAGCAATGCGCTGTTGCTTGCGACTTATTTTTCTCTTGCTAGATTGATCCAGCACACTCATCCGCAGCAAATGGCTTCGGCGATTTTGCTACGGACCCTTTCTGTCTGGGCACATTACTTGAATTTCTTTTCTATCTTCATTGGGTGCCAAAGTGATTAGATCTCAATCATGTCAAACACCATCTTTCGGATCAGAGAAATCCGTGCTGACTAAGTTGAAGCGAATGATACTCACCCATGATATGAGAGTAGCCTGTAGTGGTAGTAGTATTTACAACTTTCCTGTTGAGCTAGGCGAGATTTATAGCTTCGATCTTCTCGATGAGGGGCTCCGCCGAGCATGGTGCTTCTTGTTCGGCGGTTGATTTGGAGCACTCCTCGTGGGCCCAGCTAACGAGCAAAAGTCCGATCAAAATGAAAAGTGCCCCGATGATGCTGCAAAAGCAAAAGCAAAAGCAAAAAAAGAAGCATTTTAGATGTCTAGACTTTTGCTTGCTTGCCTGCCCAGGAAAATGCTCGAGAAAAGCGACGTGATGAGTGTATTTACAGGCGTGTAGCAGCCGACGATCGTGGGGCCGAGCCGCATCACGCTCCAAAGCATCAAAACTGGAAATATGGACAAGGAAAGAACGGACTGAGCAAAACCAAAAACCAGTGTGTATGGTTACTTTGAGCCTAGGCAAAGCAGCACCAGAGTATGGAAACTTACGATGAGCATAACGACGGGGACTAAACTCCCGGTTAATCTCCACGCGGAACTGTCGATTGTGAAGAACCCAGCCGTCCCACTGACGAGTGATCCTATCAAGAAAGTGATTGCCAGGATTGTGACTGGTGTGGGGCGCTTCTCAAGCAGCTTTGCCTGGAAAAATAAAAAACGAATGAAGATGTAAAGAGAAGAGAGCATTTTTTACCGCAAAAGTTCCCATTGCTCCAGCGGCCATAGAGCTTAGAACGATGCAAAAGGCACCGACCTGGAACTCGACCCCAGTCCTTACGGATTTGATCGGCGTTGTCGAGGACGGTGACGAGCACTGCAAGCCGAGAACGCACGGGCCTTTGTAGAGGATCATCAAGATTGCACCGCCAGCGCAAACGAGAATGCCGGCGATCTTCGCTTGCCCGTACACTGAGAGAAGTTTCACTTTCTCTACCCTAGAAAAAGAGGAAAGTTAGCTCGATCTTTACTTAGTACTGGAGCTTCTTTGTCCTCACCCAAAGAGCATCGCGAACGCGGCAGTAAAAACGGTTGACAGTGGATGCATTGCCGAGACAAAGCTGGCCGAAGTCTTGGAGAGCCCCACTAATCCCAGAATTTGTATGATAAACACACTGTTCAAGGGAGAAAAAAGGAGAAAAGCACAAACAAGATACCTCGATTAGACCGTCAGTTGCTCTCGATCATCCAAAAGCACTTACAAGAAACCAAAGACGAGCAGCTGGAGAATCAATCCAAACGTAATTCGAAGATCCCGCCCCCTGTGTGATGCCATTCGTGCCAAGAAAGGGGGGCGACGAGAGTTATTTCAAGAAAACGCGAGAATCCAGCCGAAATCTCGCAGTTCTTTACCTCTCAAACACGAATGCAGCAACCGCGAGCACCGCTCCTGCGAGAAAGAGGCAGTAGCACCCGAGAACGAGGCGATTCACGCCTTCCTTGAGCACCGCCTGCGTCGCGAGCGTCATGAAGGCCGTGAGGAACTGCGTCAACAGGAGCGCTGCATGAACAGTGAGATTGCTGGCGCGGATGTCCGCCATCGCCAAAACCTAAAGCCACGAACAGGGAGTGGAAGAAGAACAGGGATTTTGAAAGAAACAGAAAAGCCCCGCCATTGCCACACAAAAACGCTGGACGTGTTGAAAATCGGCCATCTGGCTTTTCTTAAGCACGATTAACTAGCTAACAATGTCTTAGTCTAATTGGCATCTTCGTTTAATAACGAAGCCACGTGGCTCTCCGGCACTGGCGGAGCGGGCAAAAGGATATTTCTAACGACCAACCGCTCTTTAAGCCCTAAAGCCTATCTGACTCAACCCCAGAAAAATTCCCTCCTCTTCATTCTTTGCGGTTTGAGCTGGGGCGCCATCGCCAGGAGCGCTAGGTCTCGCGCCCGGCCCCCATGGCCGATCTGGAGGTGGAGGAGCGCGCCAAGCAGCTTAGAGAGCTCCATCGCCAGCAGATGTTCATCCGCGTCGAGAACGCGATGCTCTCGGAGCATCTCTCGGTGAGTTTTTCCATCCCCCGCATTGTGATATTTCGTCCAGCTCCGGTCGAAATCCGGTGTATTGCCTCCAAATCTCACGATTCTTGGCCATATTCCCTCTATTTCCTTTCGACAAGATCGTGCATTGCTTGTTTTCTTTCGTGTTATCGCCTAGCGCTGACTCTTTTCTTTTCTCTTTGATCCAGCGCGTGGTTGTAGCGCGAAAATCCAGCCTCCAGCTTCATCTGGAAAGCATGGAGAAGGAGCAGGAAGAGAAAGAAAAGGCCGAGGCGGAAGAGAAGGCCAAGGCGGCGGCAGCGGCGGCGAGAGCAGCTTCAGAAGTTGCGGCGGATCAACCCGCGAGAAGTGGCGTCCGATTCTCGCAAGTGGCAGCAAAGCCTCAGGAGATGGTGGTCTTGACGTTGAGCCCCGAGGAGAAACTGGAGATTGTGGACGAGGAGTGCCTGTTCCAGCGGCAGTATATCGAGAAGATCAAAGTGGAACAAGACCGCATTCTCGACGACCTCCGAGCGGTTCTCAATGCGGCCAAGCACCGAGTTGCCGAATTCAGGAAGGATCGTGTTGATTTCAACAGGGATGTGTTGCTGCTGGCACAGCTCAATCCCGTAGACAAGCCATACTCAGAAGATATTCTCAGGTCAGTCGCTTCTTTTCTTTCTTCTCGGCTTTTTCGGATACCGAAACTTGGATTATTCCTTTCGTTGATGTAGATTCGTCGTGGACAAGAACAGAAGGAAGAAGAACTTAAGGGACAACGTTCTGGCAAAGAACGCCAGAGCCAAGACCGAGCGCAACAGTTTGCTCAAGCAATTCGGAAACAAGAAAGATCTCGAGGAAATTCTTCACGTGGTGGATTTTGACGAGCTCAAGATCGTAAATGGTCAGCTCAACGCCCGGATGCGCGAGCGAGTTAAGGAGATACGTCGGCTAAAGCGTTTGATCAAGTCGACGTTGCAGGTAGTGTCTGCGCTCTCCGAGTTTTTCTTCCTTTATGAATCAGATCTTCCCGTCTTTGCTCCGTTTCTCGATACAGCGGTGTTGGCAATGCAGGTCCTCGAGAACACGCTGGAGATGCTATCTTACGCCCACGACCAAGGACTACGAATGAAGCAATCACTCACGGATCGATTTCCACTTGTTAACTCGGCAGATGGATTTATCATGGCCGAGAGAGTTCAGCGGGTGAGTGTCTGTCTAGTTATCTTTTCTGAGATTCTTCCTGAAAACATTCCTTGATCGCAGAGAAAACTCCACGACGCGGTCATAATTGCTCTTCAAAATCAAGATGGGCCTCCACAACCGACCGCCATGGACTATATGAAAGCACGAAACAAAGCTTTCGGTCTGAGGAAAGAGATCAAAACATGGATTGGAAAGGTGGCAAAAAATCTTTAAGTTCGTTGTCATCGTTCTTTCACTGTTTTGTTTTCTTTGTGCTTTCCAGGTAGAAATTGCTGACCTGACACGTCAAGAGCTCGAGAAAAGCTTGACGCTCGTCCATAAAGACATGGCAAGCCGTGGTGTGACCGCTTGACGCAAGCGGCTATGCCTTCTAGGTTCGTTTTCTTGCTGGTCTATTTCTCTAGGAAGATATTTAAGATCTTTCTTTGGTAGTTGTCGGGAACCTCTTGTACATTGCGGCGGCCGCTTTTAAACAAGTAACTCTACAAACCACGTAAACGCAATCCCACGGGAAGCTCTTGGCAGTGTCGTCGTCCTTCATCCACTAAAGTAAGCCACAGGAGAGATTCGGGACACGCGGTTGGCCCAGAGATTGGCGACGGGTAAAAAATATGTGCTGTCGTCCCAGACAACGAGTGGCACGTCTAGAGAAGCTACACGAGTCAATCGACGAACTGCACGGATCCAAGAGAAATGGAAAAGCCTCGACAACTCACCTGGAAAAGAGTCGAAACGCAAGAGAGACAACGCACAGCACGATGATGGCGACGATGGTGCCTGTGGCGACGATGGCAAGCAACGAAGACACTCCTCCAATCTTGTCAAGCTCGTCCTCGAATCAAGGAGCTCCACCACGCTCTCGAGCCTAGTCCAGGCCAGCCGGGACTCGTCCATGGCCAGCGCGAGCTCCTCACAAATCCCGGGAAGAAGCCACGACGCGTAGAGCTCCGCCGAGGCACCCAGGAGGCGAAAAACCCGGTAAATGTGTACGAGGGCAGTGAAGTAGTTTTCACCTGTTTCAGCTGAAAGTTAGTTAACCAGTGGCTACTTTCGCAGGAAAACTTTCGCTCCTAGATTCGTACAACCTTGCTCGGTGGAGACGAGTCGCGTAGAACAGCCACGGGACACGGCATCGTTCCAGATGCCAAGGCCGAGTTTTAACTCGGTGGCACAAGCACGGGCGAGAAGAGTCCACGATTTGAGGTACTTCGGCTTCATCCCTTCTTCCATGTCTGCTGCGTTTGGTTGTGCCTGAAGGATAGGAGTTAAATTATCATGCCTGCAAGAGCATACGTAGAAAACAGACACAGCTATCTTGAATGATGCATTGGAACGACGAACTGGAACGATTGTTTTAGCTATGCATCCTTTACGTTCTACTGCATAGCAGGGAAAAAACCTACCTCGTCAGTGGCAGTCGCTGCCAGGACTGCCTTTGAATCCCAGTCGAGCGAAAGCAAATCCATAAGATCACTGTTCGTTGTTGCGAGTGCATTATCTTGTAATGCATTTAGAGCTGGGCTTGTGTCCCACAAACTTTGCTCCTCGTGCTCCTCCACAATCTCTGGAATGATCGATGTTAGTGTTTCCAGATATGACGAACGAAAGATGGCAGCAAACCTTTGGGCGAAGCATTGCGAGGCCCGATGGAAGTGGCAAACTCCTCGAACGATGACCACTCGTCTATGGCAGTAAAGCTGGGATGGAAGCCTCCATGGCTGTGGCTCCGGCGGTGAGAGATGCCAGTGGACGTTACGTCGCCGGAGAGAATGTCGCCTGGAAAGCTCACGTCGGCTTTCGGAGCTGGGAGGCTGACTGATCGAGAATAGCCGCTGCTCTCCAGCGTCGCAGCACTGAAAGCCCAGCTGCGATCATCTGCGAGCTCGAAGCCATCGATTTCCACTGGCACATCCTGTTGCGAATCCAGCAACGATGGAGGAACTTCACTGCTACTATCCCAGAAAAAATCCTTCTCCACCGTGGTTTCGAGTTTCGACCCGTCTGGAGTGATCAAGTTGGCAGCGTCCAAATCCTTCTCGACTGGCAGAACATCCGGCTGTGCATCCAGCAACGACAGTGAAGCGTCATGCTCAAAGCCCGCACTGTTACCATTCTCCAAGAAGAAATCCGGTGGCGAGTTCTCCACGGTGCTTTGCTTCTCACCCCACCGAGATTCATCCAGATCCCAGCCAGTGAGTTTGGACTGTTCGTGTTTCTCTAGAGCGATCTCGCTACTGAAGATGGCAGTATCAGCATCGACTGGAAGAACCTCTTGTTGTGAATCCAGCAATGAAGGTGGAAAAGCTTGCTCCACACCTGGACTCCAGAATAAATCCTTTGCCACCGTGCTTGGTTTCCCGAGAGATTCTTGATCGTCGGACATAGAGATAAGATCGACGAGCCCAACCTGTGCACCACCACCTTTTAAAACGGAAGGCTCCGCAAACTCTCCCCATTCATCATCGTTGGAAGTGGTCTCTGGAAGTAGAGTTGATGGAGCTGGGAACTGGAGATGTGGAAGTAGGATCGATGGAGCTGGGACGTGGAGATCTGGAAGTAGAGTTGACGGAGCTGGGACGTGGAGAGGGACTTGACGATCGCTGCGAATACCATGCATCGCTAGCATCAGCTCGCTGGTTGGAACCGTGGAACCCCAGCCATTCGAGATCTTTTCCTCTGGAGTGTGCGCTTCCAAATCTCCAAAACCATTCTCCTGTGATTTCTCTATTCTCTCTTGTTCCACGCGATTCCCATTCTGCTCGCCAATGTGCGTCGCCACTGACTCGAATTCTCCAAATTCTTCTTCTTCTTCTTCTCCATCTTCTCCTCCTCCTCCTCGATCAGCAGCGATGAATTCTTCCTCTTTTCCTTGCCCCTCCTCGTCCTCATCGTCTTGCTCTCCAAACAAGGACAATGGAAGCGGCTTGCGAATGGACGAAGAGAAAGAAGAAGAATGGATTCCCTTGGCGTGGCCTCCATTCTGCGAGATCTGTGCACTACCTGGTGGCTCCCATAGCGCGTGGAATCCATTCGCCATGCCTGCCAACGCCACCGCCGCCGCCACCGCCGAAGCTGGAAATCTCTCCTCCAGATAGCATCAAATGCGAGCTCTCCCGAGCTGGATCATCCACAACCGTCGCGAAATTCGCAGCGCTCACAGGAATGCGGCACTCTCCAACGCTCCGCATCACAGATCACAGATCCATCCAACCCTAGAAACGCTCTGGTTGTCGGTTAGTCTCACAGACTCCGTTAACTAGACAGAGACAAAGCCCACAGTTTTAGGGTTCTTCCAAGACAGAGCACCGGAAATGGGAGCTACGTCGCGGTCGATTCTTCCAGTCGCTCAGCTGCCGCTTTCGCTGTCCGCCGGGCTCCCATCCGGCAAGAAATCGTCCTACGTCGCCTGTCTTGGCTGCCATTTGGTGAAATCGCAGCTCCAGGTTCTTTGTCGATCGTCTCTCTTTCTTTGCCGAGCGATCGATCGATCGACCCGATGCCACTGCGCAGTTCGCGACGGACGGCTGTGAGAACTGCGGGAATTTCTTCGGGAGCGTGGAGGAGAGCACCACTTCCCTCTTCACCGGGTAAGGAAAGGAAAATATTTCGATTCTTTTCTCTTTCTTGCTCAATGTCGCCAAATCTTTGCTCAGCGTCGTGTCGATCATGGATTCCAGCCAGAGCTGGGTCGCGAAGTGGATGAGGATCGGTATAAAGCTCTCGCCTTTCTCGATTCCATCGCTCCTTTCTCATTCCTTCTCTCTCTCTTTCTCTCTCGCAGAAAGGCTCCTTCCCGGATGCTATGCCATCACTGTGGAAGCGCCCGCGGCTGGAGAAGCGTGATTTCCATTTCTCTCCAGAGACGCCTCGAACGATTGATCTCAAATTCCCGCGTCGGTGATAGCCGTCCGATCTTGACCACATTACGTACAATCCGTATGTTATCCGTACCACTTTGTCGTACACTATTTTTGTGTTCTTCCGTTAAGTGCTATGAGTGTAAAGAGGCTCAAGCTCAGTGATTTGCCGAGTTGCGGGAAGTAGGCAGGACCTGGATCGGGACTTCGAGGGTTTGACTGCTGATCAACTACGTTATGGGCGATTAAGCGTGAGCATCGAAACGGCCATAGAACCAGCCAGTGATCCGAGCAAGAAGACAATGGTGAGTGAGTGCTTGCTTGATTGCTTTCATCTTTTGACATGTTTCAAACTGCAGCATGGCGAATCACCACGAGCAATAAACTGTACTAAAGTTTTGTTTGTTTAAACATAAAATGAAATCGGGAAACTAGAAAGTTCGTCATTATACGCGACAAAGTAGTAGTCCAGGTGGTCGTCCACAGAACCAAGGTTAATCTTCGAGTTTTAAGACAACGATCACATCGTTTCTGCAGCTCCAGAAAAGATCAGCGGCATCAAGTCGACATTCTGCTCGCTCAACAATTGATTATCATGGAGTTCTTGTCAATAGCGGCAGTTCTAGTGATTGCTGAGTTATTTGCTCCAGGCTTGGGTTTCCAGTGTCCAAAAGCCATGTTCTGGTTCGGGGATTCTATTGTCGATACAGGGAATGTTCAAGCAGCAGCTCCGTTTATTAGTGCCGCAGAGTATAAGCCTTATGGCATGACTTTCTTCAGTAAGCCATCGAAGAGATACTCGGATGGTCGCTTGGTTGTCGACTTCTTTGGTAATTGTGTGCGTTGATTAAACAGCATTTGATGTTATTCGTGTATGTTTTTGCAGCGGAGGCTTTTGAGTATGATAGATTCCTGGATCCCATTTTGCAAAGTATTAACTCGAATTATGCCAACGGGGTGAATTTTGCGGTCTCTGGAGCGACTGCTTTGAACACCAGCTTCGAAGTCCCACTGTACCTTCCGGTTCAGATTGACCAGTTTCTGAGGTTCAAGCAGGATGCTTACGACAGCGGACATGGTAAAGGTAATGATTCTTCTCAGACTTTGCAAAGGTAGTGTCATTCATAGTTTCCTCTGTAGGGATGCAAAAGCTAGTTCCTTATTATCATCATCTAAAGACTGCTCTGTATGCGGTTGTCATAAGTACTAACGACCTTCTCAATTCCTACTTGTTGGAGCATAGAAGCCCTGAGAATGTAACAGCTGAGGTTGTTCCATTCGTTGTGAGAGCCATCTCTCACGCATTACAGGTACACAAATTTGCATTCAGTCTTGAGGTTGTTCTAAACCCTTTAATAGAGTCTCCATGAGCATGGCGCACAAAACTTGTTGGTCTTCAGCACGTTCCCTCACGGCTGCATGCCGGTATTGCTGAGCGTATTTGGAAAATATATGCCAAAGGACTCTCGGGGTTGTCTTCTTCCTTTTAACCAAGTTGCGGAAGCGTTCAACAAGCAGTTGTATGATGAAATCCAAGTCTTGCAAAAGAACAGGACGGGATTTCATCTTCTTTATGCAGATGCTTACAAATTCACTTTGGATGTCCTGGATAAACCGCTAGTTTATGGTGAGATCATGTGGTGTTGTTGTAATTACACTCATTTATGTCTTTCCAGGATTCCAAAACAAGACTAAACTATCAGCATGTTGCGGGAATGGAGGGGAATATAACTTTGACGTTACTCAGCCATGCGGACTAGTTATCCAGCCAAACGGTACCACTTTGAAACCTTCGGAGTACGTCAGCTGGGATGGCGTTCACTTTACTGAGTCGTTCTATCGGAAGTTGTCAAAGGCATTGCTCACAGGTCGATACATTTATCCATCTCTGAACATTACGCAGATTTGCAACTTCACTTCCAATAGGAAAGTGCGGAGAGAGCCCGAATGATGACAGAAGTTCATTTGCTACAACAGCCTTGAGTACTCAAATCTTTCTTCTTAATAGCCTAATTGAAGAAGTACATATATGCCTTTTGAATATCAAATCAAAATATCAGGAGCAAATGACAGTGTTCCATTGTTTGGGGCTCCTCGAATTCCTATAATTGTGGTGATTATGTTATATATCTCCACATTAGGGAACGATGCCACTTTTCGTTTCGGAAATCTTGGACCATGAGCAAAGAAAACAGACCGCATTGAGGAGTACGCATTGTCATAACCATGAAAACCTCCACAGCTACTATTTGTTGATCTCCCAAGCTTCACAGTATAGCTTTCTGAAGCCAACCCAATGATAGGTTGACCAAACTTGCCATGTGAGAAATGTAACCTTTCTGGCAAATCTTCCTTGAGGAAAACCTTGAGGAACTGTCCATTATTCACCTTTCCTGACTGCAATCCCTCGTTCATCTTCTTCACAATGTGCTTTGCATCAAAACCTGGTCAAAAGCTTAGTCAATAAGAGTCAAAATAAAGTTATCACATAAATTACCTCTTGGAGGTCTCAATGCAACTACTGCTCCAACCCAGTCATACCATTCATCAGGGATTCTGATCCATGGAGCCAAATCCTCAAGATAAATCACCTTACTCTCGCAGCTCATTACCATGCCATGGTCACTAACCATGATAATATGAACATCATTGAGTATCCCACGCGCTTCCAGACCTTCCAAGAGTCTTCCAACCATCTTGTCAATGTTGCTCACAGCATCTGTGAGCTCTTGCGAGTCTGGTCCCGAGGCATGCCCTGCGTGATCCGGATTGTCAAAGTAAACAGCAATGAAGCTTGGCCGCTTGGAAACTGGCATGTCCACAAACTTTAGAATGGAGTCAATGCGGTCCTCAAAGGCAAGAGATGAGTTTGCAAGGCGAGCACAGTACTCTTGAGGACAAGTCCAGTGGCCTCTTACAACTTCACTCCCCGGCCATAGATAAGTTCCAGCCTTGAGTCCATTCCTAACTACCGTTTCCCAAAGAGGCTCTCCGTGCCACCACCTTGGATCCGCCCACGAGACGTTAAACCTTGGAAATGAAGGGTCTGATGGATCCACGAAACTATTGGCAATAATTCCGTGCCATGCAGGATACAAACCTGTTTAAATTAATTGATTTACCAACAAATAAGAAAATCTTTTATGACGTACCAGTAGCAATGGAATTGTGATTTGGCATTGTCACTGTGGGAAACACTGGAATCATACCCGGAAAAGCTTCCACACCATTCTCCTTGATGAAGTCAATGTTTGGAGTGGACGTCTTAAACTGGTAACCCCATTTGAATCCATCAACAGATATGAGAATGACCAGAGGCTTCTTGATCATGCCATTTGATTTGGTAAGTCCCACAGAAACAATAAAAACTAACGTCAACAAAGAGATCCTCATATCACAGCCTCGATCAACCTAAGGTCTAGAAAGGTGATTAGTTTATATGGTCGCTTTGCCTATGTATGGTCTCTTTAGAACTTATTTGGTTAGCTGCATGCCAACTTTAGCAAAGCGCTTATTCAGCAAACGTTAGATTTTTCCTTTTTTGTTAGATTTTTTGCAAGTGGTAATCTAAGGCAAAAAACTGATAGCCTCCTTTGGTTGACTCACCAACGTTTAACATGGGGCGCTCAAAGTATTCGCCCCAAGCACAGTTGAATCTCCCTCGTTCTATTCAAGAATCTGGACTAGGACAAGCAGCGTTGACATGAGCGATGCAGTGTCAAGCACTGGCCCAAGCCCTGGAAGTAGCAACTCGTGTTCAAGGCTAGGGAGAATTTCTCTATATGGTGACCTGCCTTCAGACTTCTCGAATTCATCTGTGCTTTACAACATTTCCTCTAAAGTGAGATTTGCAGAAAGTATGGGCACCCAGCCGGTGTGGTGATACAGGCTGCTTGCATTTCGATCTTCTTCTACTCTACCAGTTAGATACGCCACATATTCAGCCTGAAAAAGAGACAAGAAGCAGTAAGGACGAAGAAAGGCGAACATGATAAGCATACAATGACCTGGATGTTCGAGTTCAGCACCCGAAGTTCCCACAGGAACATCATCAACGACGACATGGATCTACTCCACTTGAGCAGTTTTAACACCTTGGCCACTGGAAAACTAGTGCTCCCAGAGCGATATGCAAAGCTTCGTTAAAAGAGGAATCAAACAGGAAAGCACACCAATGCACCGAAGCTTTGGAAATCCTTCAAGTGGATGAGTGATTCCTTGACCAATGCCAACGAGCGTTGTAGCTGCACTGACGTGACCTTCATTCCTGCACAGTGAGCAGAAAACCTGTGTCTAAATCCCTGTTGCAATGCATGAAAAGATTGCCATGAACCTCTCCAAAGTGAAGCTGTGAGGATGTAGTACATCCGAGATCACCGTACAGCTGAGACACGTGGCTCCCACCTATGTATGTATAACGGTGATGATATTTGAGTGAGAGAGTTTTTCTCTTCTTCCTTAGTTTTCAACATGGTATTGGAGCTCAGGGATTATATCTGAATGGAGGAGGAAGAGGAGGAAGACGATGAGCCCCCTGATCTGGAGCAGCTGTGAATTGCAAATATCAAGATGGAGGTTTTCTTGTTTATTTTGTCTTGTACAGGCAACCCTAAAATGGAGGCAGTTCTTGATCGAGACTGGCCTGGATATGAATTGAAAGCTTGCAACACCGCTTGCTACCGCTGGAGATGATCTAATGCCCCTGCTGCTACAAGGGAAGGCTTCCTTGGGCTGGAGATTTGCTGATGCTCCCAAGAGGCTTCTCTTCTTCCTGGGAATTGCTGTGCGCAAGGGCCTTGAGGCTGATGGAGAGATCACATTTGAGTGGGGGACATGGAACAAGATGCTGGTTCTGACGGGTCCTGATACAAGCTGGGCTGTGTGCAAGCTTGGGTACCTTGGAACGTGCTGCTACTGTTGTTCAACACCACAAAATGCTAATTTCATGAGCTTAGCTTTTCTTGGCTAAGTGGGGGAGTGAGATAGATTCACAGTGGTTTAGCATTAGTTTCTTTTTCCTGATCCAGCCTTTGCATGCTGATCTCGGATGAGGATGTAGTACATCTAAGATCACCATATGGCTGAGACATGTGGTGACACGTGGTGGATCTGGAGAGTCACGACTCTCACCTGTATATGTATAGTGGTGATGATATCTGAGCAATAGAGTTTTTCTCTTCTTCCTTAGTTTCCAACATGGTATCAGAGATTCTCGCTCAGATATCATCACTGCTATACATACACAAGTGAGAATCATGACTCTCCAGATCCACCACATGTCACCACGTGTCTCAGCTGTATGGTGATCTCGGATGTACTACATCCTCACACCCCCACTCAGCCGAGATCAGCGTGCAAAGGCTGGATCAGAAAAAAGAAACTAATGCTAAACCACTATGAATTTATCTCACACCCCCACTTAGCCAAGAAAAGCTGAGCTCATGAAATCAGCATCTTGTGGTGTTGAACAACAGTAGCAGCATGTTCCAAGGTACCCAAACTTGCACACAGCCCAGTTTGTATCAGGACTTGTCAGGAACCAGCATCTTGTTCCATGTCCCCCACTCAAATGTGATATCTCCATCATTGCACACAGCAATTCCCAGGAAGAAGAGAAGCCTCTTGGCAGCATCAGCAAATCTCCAGCCCAAGGAAGCCTTCCCTTGTAGCAGCAGGGGCATCAGATCGTCTCCAGCAGTAGCAAGCGGTGTTGCAAGCTCTCAATTCAAATCCAGGCCAGTCTCGATCAAGAACCGCCTCCATTTTAGGGTTGCCTGCACAAGACAAAATAAGCAAGAAAACCTCCATCTTGATATTTGCAATTCACAGCCGCTCACTCATCGTCTTCCTCCTCTTCCTCCTCCATTCAGCCCAGAATTTAATCCCTGAGCTCCAATACCATGTTGAAAACTAAGGAAGAAGAGAAAAACTTTATCGCTCAGATATCATCACCGTTATATACATACTGTTACACATATACAGGTGAGAGTCCAGATCCACCACGTGTCACCACGTGTCTCAGCTGTATGGTGATCTCGGATGTACTACATCCTCACAGAAGCTGCCTGCCTGGGGCCTGGACCTTCATCTCCATTGTTTCTATCCTTTTCCATGGCTGATAGAGAACTCCTGTAATCGAAACGTGTAAGAGAAGAGAGACTAAAAGTTGAATTTCCACTTTTGTTTCCTCGAGCCCCTCGCGTGGTCGGCATCAAACAACGTAGATGGAGCATTTAAAGCAGATATTTAGCGATGATCGTCGGATGCTGGAGCGTTGTTGATTAACAACTTTCCTGGAGACGCAGGATAGAAGAAGCCGCTCGAATTCTGAGTGCGTGGACTCTGGCTCTCGTCCCAAGAGCGTGACCTGAAGGAATAAGGAATAAAGAAGATTCATGGGGTTTGCGATTCTGGGGAGGGATAGGCAAAGAGCAGTAGGAATTCCTCCTGTTATGAGAATTCATGAGCTCGGTTATTTTCTGTGTTGATGGCTTTAACACACTCGAGAAACCAAAAAGTGAGGATGAATAGCAACTTTGGAAATAAAACGCAGAGATTAAATTAATGCCTTTTTTCGTCTTAATGACCCCTAAAGCAACCTGGAAGTCAGGTCAATAATGGTCAACTAAAGTAAACTGGTTTGTTTAAATCTTACCTACAAAATAATCAAACAATTTTAATTCTTTCGCCAGCGATCTAGCACTTCATGAGCAGCTTCACTTCTTCCACGCACTTCTTCTTCCGCTGCTCGGACGCCTCCTTTCCCAGCGCGATCTGGGCGTACGCCCTCTTCTTCTCCTGGACTTGGAGCAGCCTCTCCTCGATGCTGTCCGTGGCAATGAGCCGAAACACATGAACGTCTCTCGTCTGTCCCAGCCTGTGAACTCGATCCATGGCCTGTTCCTCCACCGCCGGATTCCACCACGGGTCCATCATGAACACGTTGGACGCCGTCACCAGATTCAATCCCACTCCAGCGGCCTTGAGGCTGAGAAGGAACACCGTCGGCGAGCCACTGCGTGTCGACTTGAACGCTTCCATGTTTTCTTCCCTCTTGCTGGCGCTCATGCCGCCCTCGAGCTTGACGAACTTGAAGCCGGCCTTTTGGAGTGGCCCCTCGATGAGCTTGAGCATCGTGGAGAACTGGGAGAACACCACCGACTTGATATTTGGATCCTTGGCTCTCGTCTTCTCCAGCATAGATACCAGCGCGTTGATCTTGGCGCTCGGCTTCACTCCTTTCACGTCGATTTTGTCATCGTCGTCCTCGACATCGTTTTTGTTGGACAGCTCTTCATCTTCCTCCTCGTCTGGTTTCCCGGAAGAGAAGATATCGTCCTCGCTCAACTCCTCGTGGCACATTGGACACTGCTTGTCCTCGTCTTCCAGTGCTTTCTCGAGGCACCGGCGGCAGAAAACGTGAGCGCAGGATGTGATCACGGCTCCCGAAGGAGGAGCGAGGCAGATCGGACAGTCGAAATCATCGCCCAACGTGGCCAGCATTTTTTTCAGCAGCTCTGGACTGGCCGCTTTCGGTCCTGCTCCTGCAAAGTTTCAGAAAAGTCAAGTTTCCCTTTTATTTTTTCTGATCATAGGCATACCTTGAGTGTCGGTGTCTGATGAAGTGCTCATATTAACGATTTCCGCCGGGCACATACTCGTGTGATCGCATATCTGACGCAACCGGAGAATCATCTGTAGCACCACGGCGTAGTTCTTCGTCACCGTGCCGTTGTCCAGGAAGCGCCGGATCATATTCCTGCCATCTTTTTCCATCTTGTCGTACAGACTGCGATCTTCAGGGCTGAGATCCACCGGGAAGACTGTGATGATCTTGGGAGGCAAGTCAACGAGCTTCTTGCCGTTCACCTTCGTCTCTTTCGTTCTCCTCAGCGAGATGGAAGACATAAGTCCCTGAATGATTGGTTGAAACCGCCGGTTATAAACGAAAGGAAAGAAGGAACTTTACCTGGAGCCGAGCGAATCCAACAGGCTCGCCGCTCGTCAGTGGCTTCTGTATAGTCTTCGTCCAGAAACTCTGCTCGTTGAGAGGCTCGAAATGCAAAAACTGCATGAGACTGAGGAGATCCTTGGCACTGTTCTGGATTGGAGTGCCCGTCACGGCCCATCTCCGGTCGGCATTCAAGGCCACCGCACTCTTGGTTTGCTGCGCTCTCGGGTTCTTGATAATGTGAGCCTCGTCCAGCACCAGCCTCAGCCAGTGGACCTTCTTGAGAGGAGAATTTCTCTCGGTAAGCATGTTGTAAGTCGTGAAAACGATGTCATAGTCTGCAAGAATCCTGGCGTTGGCGGTGCGATTCGGTCCGTGATACTTGTGGACTTTGAGCCCCGCGGGGTACGTGTGATCCTTTAGCTGCGACTCCCAGTTGCTGAGCACCGAGAGCGGGCAAATCACCAGAGTTCCTCGAGGACCATCGGCTGCTGGAACACAGGGAGGTCCGTCGTTGGAAACGGGCACCGGAGCTGCTGTCTTTGCCTTTCCTTTGTCATCGGAAGTTTTGAGCTTCTTCGAGGCTGGCTCGCCACCCTGACTTTGCTCTGGCTCCTTGATGTCTTCGATCGGTGGAAGAACAGCACCGGGCTTGTTGGTGGCAATGAGCGCTAGAACCGTGAGTGTCTTCCCGAGTCCCATATCGTCAGCTAAGATCCCACCCCGGAGAGACTCGGGGCGCTTGGCGGACGTAACGTTGGTCAGAGTGTTGGTATACATTGTCGTGCCTTTCTTCTCCCAGAATGGAGGAAGAGCTGACGAGTTTTCTCGCTGGACCATCCAAGCCAGAGCCTCCTTCTGGTGTTGCATCAACGAGGACTTGATGACACTGTTGTCAGCTTCCATGCGCTGCCGGATCTTTGCTCCAGCCGTCATGCTCTCGAAGATATCATCGATGCTTGGAGCCTTTGGAGCTTGAGGAGGAGGAGGCGGAGGAGGCGGAGGAGTCATCATCAACTTTCTCCTGGCCGGTGGTGGCGCCGCTACACTTAACGACCGATCGACTCGGTGATGCTGATCACGAGGAGGCCTTTGGTGCTGCTGGTGGTGATCACGATAATCACGCCTCGTCGAAGCTCTGCTGGAAGAACTAGTCGAAGCTCTTGAAGAACTAGCACCGTTTGCTACTCGTTGGTCGCTACCACCACCACCTCTTGAAGAACTACCATTTGCTACTCGTTGATCGCTACCACCACCACCACGACCATCATCTACATTATCAACTGGAGGATCGTAAGGACTTCTCAGCTGCTCGCCATAGTACTCGAGATGATCCCGGACAGCGTCGACCATCGCCGGCAAGCTAAACACGAAGACCTCACACGAGACCCTGTTAGAGCTCCCACTCCCAGCACCGATACACTGGAGCTGCGCCAGCCCCTTGTCCACCAGCGGCGCTAGACTCTTGGCCTTTTCCTTCTGGATGTACCCGACTTGCTCGCCGCGCTCGTTGATCACCCGGAACGCATTCGTATCGAAACGATTCGTCGGATCGCGGACGAGCTGCGCGAGCCCGTCGCCGGACAGCTTCCCGCGATGATGTGCTAAACCTCTCACCTCGGCCATGAGTGATCCCACCAGGATAGGCTCGTTGATCGCATCCTCCTCGTCGGCGGCGGCGGAGAAATCCACCGCCATCGCGCTCGCCATCGCCCCGGGAGAGAGAGAAAGCCCTCCTCCCCTAGTATCTTCTCCAAGGCGCTGCCTTTCAAAAAAAATTCTAGGGTTTATGGGGAATATACGCGCCGCGACTAAATTAAAACGCACGAAAGCTTTGCGGCAAAGCTAGAGCCGAGTAAACCATAGAAAGATTGGAACTTGGGCGATGGCGACGAAGAGCAGCAAGTAGTGGTGCTTGCTCGAGTCGCGCTCGTAGCTCCGGACCTCCGCCAGGAACACTCTCTTGAGCGTTTTGACGAGGAACACACCCATGCAAATCCCCGTCCAGAGGAGCGCGAAGTAGAAGAGGTACTTGCTCGAGATCGTCGCGGCGATGGAGAGAGACATACCGACGAGTGAGTAGCCGCTGTAGGCGAGCGTGTCGAGCCATGGGACTTCGCCACTGCCCACCGCGAAGAGCATCCCCTTGACGAGGATCACTTCCACGAGCCACGCTCCAATCCCGTGGGAGAAGCTGGATTGCATCACTGCCGGCGAGAACCTGTGACGAAGAGCGATGGTGAGAGAGAGCTTGAACGAGATCGAGATCTTACTTTCCGGTGAAGCCAAGAGCGTAGCAGCGAAGAACCACATACGTCGCGAGAGCCATGAGAGGAATGTATAAGTCGGGAGCGTTGATATCATACCGAGGAGGCTTGTAAGTGATGCCTCCCGCGACTTGCTCGGCGATTCTCGTCCAGTGTCCCTGGAACACAATCTCTCAATCTCTAGCAAGATTTTGTCAAGCCTCCCACCTTGTGTAGAAATGGAAACAAAATGATCTTGAGCTTGTTCTTCACGTATTGCTCGTTGAGCTGGAAGTAATAGTGAATGTCTTGCCCGGCCAAGAACCTGGAAATCTGCGACGAAGGAAGAACACTCTAAGAAACGAGAGGAAAAAAAAAAAAATTCTCTTTTGTGAAAGCTTACATTGCTTTGTACATAATCTTTGCTGCTGCCAAACAATTTCTCGCCGTAGGCGCCCAGCCCCGTGCGAATGAGATCCGAGTTGTAGAAGGCTGAATCGCCGGATCCAGGCGGCGGCTGTGGTGGCATTCCAGGCATACCGGGCTGAGGAACAAAATTGTTGTATCCATACGGCTGCGACGAGAAATCTCTTCTCTCGAATCAAACGCGAGATCCAAGCGGAAGAAGCATACCTGCATTGGCCGCGGCGGCTGCTGCTGCTGCCACGCCATGGAAATCCCCCCTAGCTCGCGCGCTCTGGAGAAATCTGGGGCAATCGCGAGCTCCTGTTCGATTAGGGCACTTGGGAGACTAGGCTAGACTAAACTTATTTTTAGGTCAAAATGTTTCTCTCAATTCCATTTCCTTCTACCAGCCTCTGGCCGAGAGCTCGGCGATGATCGGCTTGAAGTAGCGATCGATGCTGAGATTCCAGGCGTGCGCGAGCTCCTCTCGATCTTTCTTCCCGAAGAGCGGCTCCGGAGGCTGTGAATCGCGAGTCAGGCAGAGATAGAAATCGAGATTTTGGGGCTCACAGGGATCGGGGGAGGCAGTGGCATGTTTCCGCCAGACAATGCGTGTCCTGTGATGGCAGTAGATCGCCACAGCAGCCGGCGCTCGTAGAGAACAGCTCCAGCTCCAGCGATCAGTCCCAGGGTTGCTCCAAGCGCGCGCTCCTGGTAGAGATTTCGATCATCGGTGACGAAAAGGAGAATCACAAACCTGGAGCTGCAAGGACGCCATGCTTTCTTAGAGTGTGATTTTGCCCTAACCCTGGATGGAGGAGAGGGATGATACAGGTGAGAGGAAGCGAAAGATCTCCAAAGGAATGTCTCATCTCAAGAACACCTCCGTGGTTAGTCCCAGCAACAGCAACGAGAGGGATGCAAAGCGTCCATGCCGGAGTTTGTCCACGCTTATGTCCGCTCAAGCTACCGATGGCTCCGCCGATAGTAATGGACGGGACGAAGCCATGGAAGGCGTGGAAGAAGGCAAAGCTGGAGAGTCTCCGGCTGTGAACGATCGAAGTCGAATGCCGGGTATATAGATTAAACTTTGGTTTTTTTTATTCCACTTACACAGTCTATCACAGGCTCGCAGCAAGCATCGCCAGACAAAGACGAGTTTAAGCGAAGCTTGAAAGTCCAGGTCACGGAGATGAATTCCAAAGTAGAAGATGTAAGTTTTTTCTTTTGTTTTTCCTTCCATCTCTCCTGCAAATTTTTGTGTGAATAAACAGATGGAGCGGCAAGTTTCTGATATTCTCAGGATGCGAAGAGCTTCCCTGAAAGATAGACCGGTTGGAATTACAGTGACTGACGATGATAGAGAAAAGGCAGTCGCGGCCATTAAGAAGCAGCGAGCTCTAGAGAACGCTCGCCGCGAAGCTCTGCATATGAAGCGTGCACAGGATCACTTGAGAATATTTAGCAACATTCTTCGACAGGTAAGGCAATGTAGAGTTGTGAGCTGACAAACCCCGTTCTATTCTTATGCAGGTTACACAACACAAGTGGGCTTGGCCTTTCATGCAACCTGTTGATGTGGAGGGCTTGCAATTACACGATTACTACGATGTAAGGAGCGCTTTTTTACTTCTTGTCTTCCCTGCTGATCATCGTGGTTTTATTTTGTTTGCAGGTAATTAAACGTCCTATGGACTTTAGAACTATTCGAGAAAAGATGGAAGCCAAAGATGGGAGTGGATACCGGAGCGTGCAAGAAATTGCCGAGGACGTGAGGCTTGTTTTCTCGAACGCGATGACATATAACGAAGTGGGAACCGACGTGTATGTCATGGCTAAGACGCTTTCTGAAAAGTTTGAGGAGAAATATAAATTCGTTCTGGAACCAAAGCTTCTAGAAGAGGTAAGTCGGTATCAGGAGATTTTTGTGTTTAAACTTGACACCACTTGGTAATTGTGTGTGTCTTTAAGGGTGCTAAACGAAAGCAGGAAATGGTGGAATTGGAAGTTCACGAAGGCGAGGAGGCTAAAGCCGCAGAGGAAGTTGCGCTTGATAGGATGGCTCACGAGATCTGCAAAAAGGTACACGTCTTGTGAGGCTAGAGTTCCTTCTCACCTAGAACGTTCACAGCTAAACAATCTAGAAGACGAGCTCGAGGAGATTAAAATCAGTGCTACATCAAAATACAGGCAAATGCTCGATGGTTTCTCTTCCTATTCTTACCTGCGTGTGTGTAGGCCAATGTCGATCGAAGAGAAAAGACAACTTGGTCAGAGTCTCGGGCGCTTGCCTCCAACGGGCCTGAACCGCGTGATCCAGATAATCGCAAAGAATAATCCCAGTTTCAATGCCGCAGTTGCTGAAGTCGAGGTGGATATTGATGCCCTGGTGAGAAATCTCTCGTACAGTACGTTGATGATACTAAACCAAGACTGTTTCGCTCGACAGGATACGGGGACGCTGTGGCAGCTGCACTGTTACGTTCAAATGGTACTGAGCCAGAACAAGCAACAAGTTGAGGGAGCCGATCAAACCCCGACAACGACGGCAGCAGGAGCGGCAGCAGGAGCAGCAGCAGCAACAGCAGCAGCGGTCAAGAAGAAGCCTACACCCGCAAAGTTGCAGAAGTAGCCTAGGACCGGCTCTAGGACAGCGCTCATGCTTACGCGCGCTCCATACGAACTATTCTCTCATCTCTGTCAAGGGTAAGTGCCTCATGTCGGTTGCTTGGCTTTCAACTTGTGTCTATTCCTTCCATTGAAGATTCTGATAAATGCTTTGCAGGTGCTGGTGCCCTGGTGATCAGACTCGGTCATGGTGAGACTGGTCAGTCCACCGGCCAGCCATATCCCATGTGAGTTCCTTGCGTCATTTATTTTACAAGCAGGGAACGTACGATGGTAAGGCATTTCTTCAGTTGGAAAGAAAGGAAAAACCACCAGGGGCTGTGTATACTACAAGGCGTTTGCTTGCTAAGTTATCCCAACTCGTCCTCCGCCCAAGAGTTTGGAGATAAGCCAATGGAAGGAAGTGAGCTTCATCTTCTTCTTTCTCACTCACTTGTTTTCCATAAAGTCGAGAAGTCGTATACAGGAAACGTCCAGCCAGCAAAGCTGTGACCACGACCACTGAAGCTCTGGTTGTGATATTGCTGAATCAATCCTGTGACTGGGATGTTTGGATCGAGTGGGGGCGGGAGTTTGTAATTGCTCCGGGCTTTTCCTTGCAGCTCGGGTACCGCAGAGTACGCAAGCGTTGGTGGGTTGGTTGGAATCGTCCTGCGAGTAAGTTCTTCCTGGATTAAGAAAAGCTTTGTGGATTGGACTAACTTAATGCTTCTTTGGATTCCAGTGGCAGTGGCAGTAGCGAGCGAGCGATCGAACGAGCGGAGATGATGGGATAAGTGATGCTCTGGAGGAGTGATCCATGGAGCGAGGCAGGAAATCTAGCAGCGGGCTACAAGCTTCCCCTTTGGCAACGGTTGGAGCGAGTAGAAGAAACGAAAAGAAATCTCTCGAGCGAAGATGGCTACCTACATCACGGCCGTTTCACGGGCAAGCATGCAATGGAGCTGCGATGCGAGGCAAAGCAAAGCAAACGCGTAACGAAAGAAGAAGAAGAAATAGAAAAAGAGTTTAGTCTATAACGGAGGTTGATGCGTGTGTTCTTCGTTGTTCGCCACGGACGGCTGGGAGCGTGGCACGTGGCAGAAACGAACTACTGACGGGCGCCGACGGGCGTGACGTGCTGTGGATTGAAAACTCTGTTGGGCAATAAAAAGGAAGAAGGTGCTTTGCGGAACAACGTTCTTTCTTCTTCTTCCTCTCGTTTCTTCTCTCAATCCACTCTTTGTGCGTTTCGATCGACTGCGAGATTGCTGCGAGCGAGCGAGCGGGCATGGAGATCGAGAGCTGTCCTCCATTCCATTGCAGTAGTCCATCCCCATCCAAACGGGATCCAACCGAGAATTCGACAATGCAAGTGACGCAAAGGCGAGATTTCTATCCGAATTCTCCATGGTGAGTGCTTGAATTCATGCTGCATTGGATTGGCGAAGAGCTCGAGTGTGATTGGATTGACTATTCCCTGCCATGATTGAATTGATTGAACTGTATATAGCGCGGAGAGATCTAGACCAACTGGCGACAAGACTCGCAGCAACACAAGCATTCATTCATTCCTATCGCACACAAGTCGGTGGTCTTCACACTCTCTCGCGATTAAACTTTTTCATGCTCATCGCTACTCTCTTTTTTTCTTTTGTTTAAGCTTTGTTTGACGAGGACTGGGAACTGCTCCGATTCAAGCTCGCAGCTTTCCAGGTCACAAAGACTCCAAATTGCTCGCTGTTACAGTCGAAAGCGATCTGTCAAATCCTGGCGATGATCCATCCAAGTTTCCAGGTAAAAGTTCTCGTTTACATCTTCTTCCTCGTAAAAACAAACGCATGAATCATTCTCTCACGGTCTCTGGGAAGAGAAGAGAGGAAAAAAAAACTGGTTTTTTTTTGTTGTTTTTTTTGGTTGCCAGGATTCTTCGAAGTTTGTGTGGAGCCGAGCAAGAAAGAAGAAACAAAATCACTCTGCCTGGCTCCCTGTATGCCATCTGGGGGGGATTTATCAGCTGACGATGATAAGCTCCATAGCTGGCTTACGGGGAGCCACGCAGAGTTTCTCGCTTGGACGAAACCACTCGTCTTCTCATTCTCGGACACGAACGAAGCGATTGCGACGTGACGAACAGACTCACCATTCGCAGAATCCCAATCCAAATCTCTGGAACCAACAGCAACCAAGAACCTGGCGTGATCACGGGGTAACGCATCAAACTCTCGTAGATTGATTCAATCGGTGTAGAGCGCAAACATCTATAGATTCATATGCACAGTCTGTGAGCTACCTACACGAAGATAAAAGAAGAAGAAAACTCGTGGGAGAAATCGAAAATCCTTGGGCGGGCTGAATGACGACAACGACCGTGACGATGGTGATGAAATGGAACCCCGGCTTGTAGCAGCACTTATTCCATGGCCTCCTACGTAGCGATCAAACAAAGAAAAGGGGGAGAGAAAAAAAAAAACGAGACCCGTCCAGTCGAGTCGTGCGTGCTCATCAACACGGCGAGGCCAGTGTCTCGATCTTCTTCTCCAGCTCCTCCGGATTGGCTCCCACGATTTTGTCGATCACTGCCTCGTCCTTGATGAAGAGAAAAGTCGGCAGTGCTTTCACTTGCAACTTGGAAGCCAGCTCCTGCCAAGTTCCACCCAAAGGAGCAATCAATCAGTACGAAGGCCACAAACCAAGAACACACACAAAAAAAAACACTCTTTTGTTTTGTTCTTCATTCTCATTCCTGCGCGTTCTCGAAGTTTGGAGCAAAGAGAGAAAGAAGAGAGAACCACTTACATGTTGGACGTCCATGTCTACTTCCAAGAAAATAACGTGAGACAATCGCTTGGACATGTTGTTGAAGGCCGGCTCCATGAATTTGCAAGGCGCGCACCACTCGGCACTGAAATGAGCCACCACCTAAGAAACAAGGATTAGATCCTTTAAGGATTCCCAAGGATCGCGTTTGTAGCTGCGCGCTGGAACTACAAGTGGAGCTAGAGCCGTAGGTCAAACACTTACAATGGCGCTCTGTGCATTGGCCTCCTTGAGGAATTGCTCCCACGCCTCCTCCGATTCCACCTTGACGACGCGCGACGGCTCCAGCTCGAACCCATCGCCATCGCCGGACACGAATTGGTCCACATCGTTGGACACCGAGATGGAAAGAGGCGACGCTACCGCCATAGCTTCTTCTTTCGCCGCGGGCAGAGAGAGAGACAGAGAGAAAAGAGAAAAGCCTAGTGCCAAGGGGAAAGAATATTCTCCTCTTGACGGAATATGCCCGCCCGTCAGAGAATGACGGATAGAGCCGGCCGGGGGAATATTCGTGACGCGTGGCAGCTTTGCTGCCAATTTGGGAGAGGTGCCAAATGGACACCATCTGATTGGACGAGAGCACTTCCACACAAGGCTTGTTTTATAACTGTATGAATGTTTTTCTTTCTTCTTCCACGCTAGAGTTACATACAGGAGCACCAGAGCTTAGAGGTATAACTTAGCACAGCACAGGAGAAAAAAGAAGAAAAATTTCCAGAGTATTTACAACACAAACCATCAATCCAATTCGTGCGCGCTTAGAATATGTACCGAGGAACTTGCATAGGGAAAGGTGCCACTCTCACGCAAAACTCTGGACCTTCTTGCCTGCTAAGGCTGCAAGAGAGAGAGAGAGAGCAAATTCTTTAGCGAGCTAAACCAAAAGAGAGAAACCAACATACCATCCAGGCACGAACGTGAAATCGCCCTCCAGCGATCCGGACAGCGTGTTCTGCGTGCTACAGCTCTCGTAAACGAAGGCGTCGCCACCGAGCTTGAGAAGCGGATACTGGAAGAAGCAAGGGTAAGCTCACATAAAAAAGTCCTGTTTTGCTACGAGATCCTGGAGCTTACCATGCCAACCACAGCCTCAGCGCGCACTTCATCGACGATTTCATCGTCGGCGGTCACGACCCAGTGGCGCCTCGAAAGTTGACACTGGTTAAAAGCCAAGCCACTGACGGGCAGGAACCGCATTCGAACGGAGTAACTGAAGAGATACTTCTCTTGAGCCTCTGGATCAGACAGCTCAGGAACAAACACCGCAGAAGCTCTCACCTGGAAAAATTCACAGAACGTCACAACAAAGAGACCGCAAGAACCTTAAGAACGCACCTGGATTCCCTGTGTCACAGCCTCTGTGCAAGTGGATCCATTCTCCGGATAGAGGCTGATGCTCCGGATCCCATCGTCGTTGCGCACTGTATACTTGCCACTCAAAAGTCCATCCCGGTATTCCTCGAGCCACCGCAGCATGCCATCGCCGGGATTGCTGCTCGCCAGCGGCAGGCAAGGCATGACCTCGTACTTCTTGAGGAAGTTCTTGGTGCCAACCAGCACCATCCCACTGTCGCAGTCGAGGAGGAAGAACTTGTTTAAGTTGCACGACGCGGCGATGACGATCCTCTTGGTTCCAGCGGGAGCTCGCGAGAGGAGGCGCTGGGTGTAGGAGACAACTTGCTGGAGCGGCAGGAGCTGGACGTTGACAAAGTGATTGTAGAAGTAGTATCCTCCGAGAAGACCCACGTACTGGTGAGCGATCTCGTCGCCATCCACGATCTGCTGGCCATCGCAGAAGCGATAGAGAAGGCGGACGTGAGGAGGCAGAGGCCAGCCCAACGTGCTCTCGGCCGCGACAATGTCCGCCTCCGAGGCCTGGCGGGCGAGAGAATCGGCCACTGCGGGATAATTGGAGCGCAGCACGCCCTTCAAATCATCCCAGAGTTTCTTGGTCCGATAGACGAGCCCACCATACTGGTTGAATTCGTCGTGCCAGGCAGCGTAAGTTTCCTGCGAGAGAACCAATGGTGGGATTTAAATCCACTTCTTGTCCTAGAATGCCCGCTAGAAAATGCTACAATCTCTCGCTCTCTGGCTCACCTTGAAGCTGCAGCAGGGATTGCCCATGAAATCCGCGGCAGCGCACACGCCATACTCGTCCCGGCAGTGCTGCGACCAGAGCGTGTCGTCGTGCGCCAGCGCCCGCCATCGCCGATTGACGCAAGCTACCCTAGCGCAGTCCACGGCATCCGTCCGTGCCAGGATTGTTTGCAGCAGCAGCGCGGGCAGCACATCCTCCATCGCCCGCCACAAACCCTAATAGCCAAGAGCAAGAACAAGCACAACACTGCATTGCTGCTGACGTGTCAGCTGACAGTGAAAGAGCTAGCCGCATCCTAGCCGTCCACGGTGGATAACGCGGAAAAGTCTCGGGCTCGATTCCTGGGGCAGCCAATTAATTTGAATTTGCTTTTGCGAGGGCTAGGGTTTGTGGGCAGGGAGGATGATCGTGGAGCGGCAGGAGATGCCGCTGAGCGAGGACGACGATGAGGATGAGGAGAATGATATCTTCCGGCTCATGCCAGCGTCGCTGGGGTTCCTCCGCGAGCAGGATCTTGCTACATTTTGCGACTGGGAGGAGATGGGGGAGTCCGGTCCTTCTCAATCCAAGAGTAACGAAGGTACTTTCTTTTATCTCTTCTTTTTCCTCCTGTAGCTTTTCTTGAGGTTCTTGATTTGCACAGTCGAAGATGAAGATCAGAGCCTAGTGTGTCGTTTGTCGCGGGTTCGATCCAAGAAAAATGCCACCAACAAGTCGCGAGTGATGCCATCGATTCCCTCTTGTTCAAAAGGTGGATTGATGGACGTCGCCGAGTTTTGGGACCGTGAGGAGGGCAGAGAAGAAAATCCGAGCTTCATGTCCCGGTTGTCGCGGGTTCGATCAAAGAACAGTGCGAGGTTTGTCTTGTTTTTTCTTCTTTCATTGGGGAAAAGTGAAAGTTTCAGGCGAATCAAACACACACTGGACCTTTCTTTTATGAAACCCCAAGTACCGGAAACTGTGAGCTTAAGTGCTCCAACTTGCGAGACAGTAGATTTTGCTCCAACAGAAGATTTTGCTCCAACAGAAGATTGTACTCCAACTTGCGAGACAGAAGACTGTGCTCCAACTTGCGAGACAGAAGCTTGTGCTCCAACTTGCGAGACAGAAGATTGTAGTATGGCTATGAAAATGGCAACAACAGAAACTGCAAATGAGCTCCTAGAGGAACTTCGTCTCAAAGGTGCTTCAACTACAATTGTTTTCTTGGTTGAAACAAATTCTTTCTTTTCAGATTTTGATTGCGAGACAGAAGATTGTAGTATGGCTATGAAAATGGCAACAAGAGAAACTGCAAATGAGCTCCTAGATGAACTTCGTCTCAAAGGTGCTTCAACTACAATTGTTTTCTTGGTTGAAATAAATTCTCTTCCTTCGTTCTTTTCAGATTTTGATTGCGAGACAGAAGATTGTAGTATGGCTATGAAAATGGCAACAACAGAAAGTGCAAATGAGCTCCTAGAGGAACTTCGTCTCAAAGGTGCTTCAACTACAATTATTTTCTTGGTTGAAACAAATTCTCTTCCTTCGTTCTTTTCAGATTTTGATTGCGAGACAGAAGATTGTGCTCCAACTTGTGAGACAAGGAGAGTTAAACGTAAGCGCGAAGTTAAGGCTGAGGCCGAACAAAGCCCGTGGCTCAAAGGTACAAACCTTTGATGCATTTGTTATCACTGTCAATCTTATTTCTCCGGTTCAAGCAGAATCTGGGATGGAATGGAAAAATGGTAGGAGGTGCAGCACAAGGTACCGGTCCAGACCGTTGGAGTACTGGAGAGGCGAGAAGCTCCTTTATGGACGCGTACACAAAAGTAAGTTTGTGATATTCAGTTTTCGAGGGTGCTAAGTTCTAACAATAAAAAAATGCAGCAATGCCAACCTTGATTGGCATCAAGCACTCCTCACCGATGCCACCACACCCCAAGAGAGGCGAGAAGCCCAAAGAGTTCAAGGTGGAGTCGTTTGTTCCGGACCAGTTCAAACATCTAGTGAAACTGGCTGCGATCTGAAGTAAGCGTGATTCGAGCTTTCTAATGTAGAGGTAGCTACCGTTTCACGGTTTTCAAGCAGATTTTGTTTTGGTTTTCAGTATCCTTCGCTCGTATCTCGTCCGCAGCCGGCACAAGATCTTGAGAAGCTGTCACCGCAAGCCTCCGGCTTACCATCGCCAAGAAAAAGGAATGATTTTTGGCTTCCTGGTGCCAAACAACAAAGCTCTTGGGCTCTCCTGTGAAAAACTCGTTGCTCAGTCATAGGTGGACTTTCCATAAGTTTTTAGATCATCCAAAACTCTTTAGGAGTTTGATCTGGCTTTGCCACGTGGCATAGTTGGCATTCATTGAAACAGCAAAATGCTAGGCATTGCATGATGACATACAAACATGATTTATCATTTTGTGAGTGTTTGGAATTTAAAAATACAGAATATAGGAATGACATTTATATACAAGAGCGAGTGGTTGAATTAAAATCAATCAAAATCTTAGAATAGTTAAAGGTTATTGTGTCTATGTTAATGAGTTAGGATTTAGAGAAACATTAGAAAGAGGCAATGTAATTTACTTTTGATCTCATTGCACATGAATAATTTTTGGATGATTAACATGTTGAATGTTATGCAAAATTTTATAAATTTGCAATCCAATTTACCCCTTCTAAAACCTTTAAACAAATTATGTCTAGTAAAATCATTAACATTAGGTCATCCATTTATACTATATAAATGGATGATGATGATAATTGTGGCCTAAATGTTCAATAAATTTTACTTGAATTAACTTTATTGGCAATAAAAGATTATGACTATATGAATTTATATACTAAAACATTAATGAAACTTTACACCCTTGTGACATATATGTATATTGAAAAATTAGCATCCCAATACAAATGTTAAAAATTCACATACTTGACAATCATCATATTGAAAGTTCAAATAAACTATTGTACTAAACCATCCATTTATGGATAGCAAAACTGTAACGTATTCTTAATCAACATATTAGAACATAAAATGCCTCAACTATAAACATAATATTATTATTTGAGAGAATCCACTCTAGACAAGAATGTTGGAATACCACTTGATTGAAATGAAAATATTAAATAACAATTGCACTAGTAAAACATAAACTTTCACCTAATAAATTAAGTAATTGAAAGCAATAATAACATATTTATTGCCAACATTCCACCAACTGCTATTCTATTTGAGGTCACACTTATGAAACCACAATTTCTTGGGAGTCTTGGGACGAGAGCCAGAGTCTGCACGCTCAGAATTCAAGCAGTTTCTTCTATCCTTCTGTGCAATGTCTCCAGGAAAGTTGTTAATCAACAACACTCCAGGGTTCAATGATCAATGCTGATTTACAGTTGCCACGCTGCAGTAAATATCTGCTTCAACTAATCCAGTGACGTTGGATGGCCTTGTTTGATGCCTGCCACGCAAGGGCTCAAGGAAATGAAAGCGGAAATTCAACTTGTATTTGCTCTTTTTCGATTACAGGAGTTCTCTATCAGCCACGGGGGAAAAAAAAACAACCGAGATGAAGGTCCAGGCAGCTTCTGCCCATGGCAATCTTCTCATGCATTGCAACAGGGATTTAGAGACAGGTTTTCTGCTCACTGGACGAAGATGTATGAAGGAATGGATGTCATGTCTGACGTTCTAATGCAGCTATAATGCTCGTTAGTGTTAGTCAAGGACTCACTCATCACTTGAAGGATCTCCGAAGCTTCGGTGCATTAATGTGCTTTCCTGTTTGATTCCTCTTTTAATGAAGCTTTGCATATCTCTCTGGGAGCACTAGTTTTCCAGAGCCCAAGGCGTTAAACTACTCAAGGGAGTAGATCCATGTCGTTGTCGATGGGCACGGAACTCGAACAACCAGGTCATTGTATACTCGTCATGTTCGCCTTTCTTCGTCCTTACTACTTCACTGATAAGATTGTCTCTTTTTCAGGCTGAATATGTGGCCTATCTAGAGTAGAAGAAGATCGAAACGCAAGCAGCCTGTATCACCACACCGGCTGGGTGCCCACATACTTTCTGCATATCAAAGCTCACTTTAGAAGCCACAATGGAAATGGTGTAAAGCACGGATAAATTCTAGAAGTCTGAAGGCAGGATGGCATATACAGAAATTCTCCGTACCACTAGTTGCTACTTCCAGGGTGACGAGGGCTTGGTGACACCGTCTATCCACAAAGTCATCGCTCATGTCAACGTCCTAGTCCAGATTCTTGAATAGAACGAGGGAGAATCAACTGTGCTTGGGGCGGAAACATTGAACGGCCCATGTTAAACGTTGGAGAAGGAAGCTAGTCATCGAAAGTCAGATTCAACGATGAGTCAACCATAGGTGAATGCGGAGGCTATCCGTTATTTCCCTTAGATTACCACTTGCAAATGTTTGAAGATTAAAGAAGGAAAAATCTAACTTAAGTCTGTTGAATAGCATTTCTGAGACGCTTGAGAAGATCTTGGAAGGCCTTCTTGAGCACTTCATCAGCAATGCCAGGACTGGAAGCAATTATCGCCCTTGGAACCTGGGGGATTCCCGGGATCTGAGAGCTCAACCCAGCAATAGGAACAACCGGGGTGTTCCCAGTATTGAGTTGAAAGTGTATCAGAGCCTTGGGAAAGACAAAGAGATCACCAGGTTGCAAAGTTTGCTCAAAGAACCTATAGTTATTGCTGGTGATGAATCCCAAGTAGAGGGTTCCCTGTTGGAGATAGAGGATCTCGGTTGCTCTGGGATGGATAGACACCATATGGAGCGATGTCAATCCTTGCAAAGAGATGACAAGAGTGTTGATTCCCGGCCAGACGCTCACGCTCGCAGGTGTGACGATCGACCCGAGCTTGTTGTTGGTGTTGCCCGGATTGCGGAGCCCCTGGAACAGGAAATCACTGGCGGTGACTGTGCTGGGGGCCTTGCAAGGGAAATCATTCACGTTGGTGGTGCTGTTCACGTTGTGTACGAAATAATCCTGGAGAGGGTCCTCATACAAAACTTAAGGTAATCACGACGAGAAAAAATGGCCTCCAAAGTCGGGATGCCTGATGCGTACCATACATCAAATCGACCATATAAACTAATCACCTTTCTAGACCTTATGTAGATCGAGATATGAGGATCGCTTTGTTGACGTTAGTTTGCATGTTTCTGTGGAACTGGTGGCTGCCGGCATGAACAAGAAGCCTGTGGTCATTCTCATATCTGTTGATGGATTAAAATGGGGTTACCAGTTTAAAACGTCCACTCCCAACATTGACTTCATCAAGGAGAATGGTGTGGAAGCTTTTCCACGTATGATTCCAGTGTTTCCCACAGTAGTAAATCAATTAATTTAAACAGGTTTGAATCCTGCATGGCACGGAATTATTGCCAATAGTTTCGTGGACAAGGTTTAACGTCTCGTGGGCGGATCCAAGGTGGTGGCACGGAGAGCCTCTTTGGGAAACGGTAGTCAGGAATGGACTCAGGGCTGGAACTTATCTATGGCCGGGGAGTGAAGTTGTAAGAGGCCACTGGACTTGCCCTCAAGAGTACTGTGCTCGCCTTGCAAACTCATCTCTTGCCTTTGAGGACCGCATTGACTCCATTCTAAAGTTTGTGGACATGCCAGTCCAAGCTTCATTGCTGTTTACTTTGACAATCCGGATCATGCAGGGCATGCCTCGGGACCAGACTCGCAAGAGACTCAATGATGTTCATATTATCATTGTTAGTGACCATGGAAGGGTAATGAGCTGCGAGAGTAAGGTGATTCTCGAGGATTTGGCTCCATGGATCAGGGGTTGGAGCAGTAGTTGCATTGAGACCTCCAAGAGGTAATTTATGTGATAACTTTATTTTGACTCTTATTGACTAAGCTTTTGACCAGGTTTTGATGCAAAGCACATTGTGAAGAAGATGAACGAAGGATTGCAGTCAGAAAAGGTGAATAATGGACAGTTCCTCAAGGTTTTCCTCAAGGAATATTTGCCAGAAAGGCTACATTTCTCACATGGGAAGTTTGGTCAACCTATCATTGGGATGGCATCAGAAAGCTATACTGTGAAGCTTGGGAGATCAACAAATAGTAGCTATGGAGGTTTTCATGGTTATGACAATGCGTACTCTCTGTTTTCTTTGCTCATGGCCCAAGATTTCCGAGACGAAAAGTGGCCTCGTTTCCTAATGTGGAGATATATAACATAATCACCACAATTATAGGAATTCGAGGAGCCCCAGAGGTTAGTTTATCTTATGCATCTCAGTCTTAATTTTAGTATGTTTTCGACATTTTGCAGTAATGAAACTCTGTTATGGAACGTTCCATAGAGTTTCATTACTGCAAATGTCGAAGACATACTAAAATTAAGTTAAATTAACACTGTCATTTGCTCGTGATATTTTGATTTGATATTCAAAAGGCATATATGTACTTCTTCAATTAAGCTATTAAGAAGAAAGATTTGAGTACTCAAGGCTGTTGCAGCAAATGAACTTCTGTCATTCGGGCTCTCTCCGCACTTTCCTATTGGAAGTGAAGTTGCAAATCTGCGTAATGTTCAGAGATGGATAAATGTATCGACCTGTGAGCAATGCCTTTGACAACTGCCGATAGAACGACTCGGTAAAGTGAACGCCATCCCAGCTGACGTACTCCGAAGGCTTCAAAGTGGTACCGTTTGGCTGGATAACTAGTCCGCATGGCTGAGTAACGTCAAAGTTATATTCCCCTCCACTCTCGCAACATGCTGATAGTTTAGTCTTGTTTTGGGATCCTGGAAAGACATAAATATTTTTGTTTCCTACAAACGTTTGCCCAAACTTCCAATCTTGGTAATTACAATAACAACACAAGATCTCACCATAAACTAGCGGTTTATCCAGGACATCCAAAGTGAATTTGTAAGCATCTGCATAAAGAAGATGAAATCCCGTCCTGTTCTTTTGCAAGACTTGGATTTCATCATACAACTGCTTGTTGAACGCTTCCGGGATATGCTCAGCAATATCGGCATGCAGCCGTGAGGGAACGTGCTGAAGACCAACAAGTTTTGTGCGCCATGCTCATGGAGACTCTATTAAAGGCTTTAGAACAACTTCAAGACTGAATGCAAATTTGTGTACCTGTAATGCGTGAGAGATGGCTCTCACAACGTATGGAACAACCTCAGCTGTTACATTCTCAGGGCTTCTATGCTCCAACAAGTAGGAATTGAGAAGGTCGTTAGTACTTATGACAACCGCATACAGAGCAGTCTTTAGATGATGATAATAAGGAACTAGCTTTTGCATCCCTACAGAGGAAACTATGAATGACACTACCTTTGCAAAGTCTGAGAAGAATCATTACCTTTACCATGTCGTAAGCATCCTGCTTGAACCTCAGAAACTGGTCAATCTGAACCGGAAGGTACAGTGGGACTTCGAAGCTGGTGTTCAAAGCAGTCGCTCCAGAAACCGCAAAATTCACCCCGTTGGCATAATTCGAGTTAATACTTTGCAAAATGGGATCCAGGAATCTATCATACTCAAAAGCCTCCGCTGCAAAAACATACACGAATAACATCAAACGCTGTTTAATCAACGCACACAATTACCAAAGAAGTCGACAACCAAGCGACCATCCGAGTATCTCTTCGATGGCTTACTGAAGAAAGTCATGCCATAAGGCTTATACTCTGCAGCACTAATAAACGGAGCTCTTGCTTGAACATTCCCTGTATCGACAATAGAATCCCCGAACCAGAACATGGCTTTTGGACACTGGAAACCCAAGCCTGGAGCAAATAACTCAGCAATCACTAGAACTGCCGCAATTGACAAAAGCTCCATGATAATCAATTGTTGAGCGAGCAGAATGTCGACTTGATGTCGCTGATCTTTTCTGGAGCTGCAGAAACGATGTGATCGTTGTCTTAAAACTCGAAGATGAACCTAGCATTAAACTGTCATGGAGAACCAGGACGGAAAGACAACGAGCGTGGACTCGACACTGCTCTCTACTTCTAGAACCTCTAACAATCGCAGCCACGGTTGACCGCACATGGGACACACAATACTAGTTCTGGGAGGGGCGCCTTCCCGAATTGATCCAATGCGCTGTCGTACCGCCAAGTGTCGTCCGAAGCCATCTCCAAATAAGTCTCTTTATTGCCACACTTTGGTATACATGCTCTATCCCCCTCTCTCGCTAAGTCTTCTTGTCCTTCATGTTCTGGCAGGGAAACTTGAATTATAACTTATAATTAATTACTAATTAGACATTTGTTTAAGCACAACCTGGTGAAAGACCCAACTGTGAGCAAAAATCCTTGTAATAATTGATACGGTTCTGTGCGTGTGTCTCACTGCCCTTGCCACACTCCTGACCTCCATTGGTGGCTCGAATTGCAGCTCCAAATCCTTGGTTCTGTTTATTGCGGTGTGGCAATTTGAATTTTGCATCCAAAACCACACTGATGACCTCCACAAAAGGACGCCATTCTGAGCAACCTGGTCTAGATTTAGGAGGAGGTTCATGTTGAAAGCCTTTCCAGAAGCATCGTAATTGTAATTCATGTATATATATACTCTTTAAATTTTAAACATAACATTTCCAACTTACCAGGTGAGCTGCAAAGGCCCTCTTCCGTAGTATGAGATTAATGGATAAATGCTATGCAAGTTTACTTCCAGTTTCCTGCTTCACATTTGCAAAGTAGGCAGCCAGTTCCCTCTTTTGAACATCAAGACTCCCCGAGCTTCCAAACGTGGGATAGTATTTTGTTGCCGCAATGAAATCATTGAATGTTTAGAAAGGATTCGCAAGGTCCTAAACACAGACTCAGTTACAATGTTAGAGGGAGGAGGCATAGCGTAAACATTATCATGACTAATGCCATGGTACTTAAACGATAGTATGAGAACTCGTTTGTGGAATGGAATTTTGGAATGGAATATAAAACGGCCATAGTCTTGTAGTTTTTATAGTCTTGAGTGCATTGCGATTTATATTGACTTTATAGTCTTCAAATGCCGTGTAGATATTAGCTTGGTCGAAGCACGCTATGAAGATCTCTTTGTGTTTGCTTGTAATACAAGTGACCAAACTTTGAAGGCGTCTATTTTAAAATTCAATGGGCCGTATTATGTGCACTAAAACAAGCTAATAGTATAAGCACATCTCTACGGAATGACTGAGACAGTATTTTGCTTTTGGGCCGTATTATCTGCACTAAAGTAAGCTAAACTGAGGCAGTATTTTGCTTAGCTATTTCAAGTCGTTGTTTAACGACAATCCCCTCCCCCAGGTTAATTTATCACACTGGATACCTCGATTGGCTTCGAGAGTGGGATGGAACCGATGGTAGCAACAAAGCAAGTCCTTAGAATTTCTGTTTAAAACGAACGAGAAGAATGTGAGTAGACTTGGCTAGGGTTGTCTGCGAGGAGGAAGTGGCCGAGGCGTCATGTCTCATGCAGTAATATCAGCAATGCTTTTTAGATACTAAATTGTTTTAGATATCCATCATCTTACAACTTTACCCATTTTATAAGTAGACTGATAGGCAAGATATTGTTCTCGGCTTTCTTATACATGACTTTCCACCATTCTCCTCTAGTACTTCTTGCTACTGTAAAGATTTCTAGAAACTAATCCAAGATCTCTAATTTCCAGATTAATTATTTGTTTTTAATAATACATTACTTAGTAGCTAGTTACTTTAAAAATCATTTGTTTAGCACAGCCAAGGTTCCCACCTGGTGAAACACCCAACTGTGAGCAAAAGTTCTTGTAATAATTGATACGGTTCTGTGCGGGTTGTGTCTCACGGCCCTTGCCACACTCCCCTCCATTGATGGCTCGAATTGTAGCTCCAAATCCTTGGTTCTGTGTTATTGCGGCGTGGCAATTCGAATTTTGCATCCAAAACCACAATGATGACCTCCACGAAAGGACGCCATTCTGAGCAACCTGGTCTGGATTTTGGAGGAGGTTCATGTTGAAAGCCTTTCCAGCAGCATCGTAATTGTAATTCCTGTATATATACACTTTAAATTTTGAATATAACATTTTCAGCTTACCAGGTGAGCTGCAAAGGTCCTCTTCCATAGTAAGCCTTTGTACCTGCAGGACATGGGATCCCACGACTAGTGTCACAATAGACGTTGTTTCGGTTGATCTCTCGAATGTATTGCAGTGCTACAGCCAAGCAACCATATACAAACTTCAAGACATTAGTGAGATTAATGGATAAATGCTATCCGAGTTTACTTCCAGTCTCCTGCTTCACATTTGCAAAGTAGGCCGCCAGTTCCCTCTTTTGAACATCAAGACTCCCTGTGCTTCCAAACGTGGGATAGTATTTTGTTGCTGCAATGAAATCGTTGTATGTGTAGAAAGGATTCGCGATGTTGGATGGGAAGAACTTCCTAAACACAGACACAGTTATAATACTAGAGGGAGATGCCAGTGTTGAGAACGGAGAAAATCCTAGGAGGCATAGCATAAACATTACCATGACTAATGCCATGGTACTTAAAAGGATAGTATGAGAACCGTGGTTGTGCAATGGAATTTTGGGGCTGTTTTTATAGCCTTGAGTGGGATTGCGATTTATATGGGCTTCACAGCCTTGAAATGCCGTGTAGATATTAACTTCTCTCCTTGGTCGAAGCACGCTAAGATCTTGCTTGTAATACAAGTGACCAAACTTTGAAGGCATCTATTAAAATTCATTGATGTGCACTAAAATAAGCTAATATGATCAAAGATTTATTACTGAGGCTTAAGTGAATTCAAAGGAATGGAGGGAAATATTTTATTTGCCTAGGGTTTAGGTCTGCGAAGAGGAAGCGTCCTACACACAGCTCGGCGGTGTTCCATGCGGTAATCTCAGCAATGCTCCGGGGCCGTGAGAGCTTGATTCGGCTTGTTGGGAAGCGGCAGCGCAATGTGTCACTCCCGGCTCGGGTGAGTGATCGAGCTTCTATTTCTTTGCAAGAAGAGTTGGAGTGCGGTGATGTTTCGCTGGAAATAAAAGGAGGCCTGAGCTTAGCTTGTTGTGACTGGGTGGAATGCCCTGTGTGTGGGAAGCAAATACGCGGGAATGAACTTCTCGTCAACTGCCATCTTGGTTTGGATTTTGCTCTGTTTTGATTCAAGCACGCTGATCGATGGTGTCTCTTGTCCAGATACTTGCCTGCAACGTGGGAAGAAAAAGAAGAACAGTGTCCAGCATACACTCTTTCACTTCAACTTGTCGAAAAAGGTAGAGTACGAGGAAAGCGGAAACTGCGTACTAGAAATCCAGCAGTCTCCTCCGCTCGAGACTGGGGTCGACTGTAACACGGCGGCAGGGTCTCCGGAACCGGAAGTTTCTTCTACTCTTGAATGCTTTGAGGAGCCCGACGTGGCCAACAGCGTCCTTCCGGCAGAGCTCAACAGTGAAACTAGAGATCTTTACAATGGCTGCCTGGAGGCAAGGATTGCTGGCCGCAAGTACCACAGAGACGTCGAGTGCCAAGCTGGGATGCGAGTTCACCTGGTAAGGGAACCAGAAAATCCCATGGATACATACGCTGTGAAGGTAAACTTGACTGGATGGACGTGTTTCATGGCTGACAACAACATTGCGCCAGGTGCTTACAGCGGATGGGCTTTCGCTGGGACATATTCCAAAAGAGCTTTCGCGTTATTTGTCTCCTCTCATGGAAAAAGGCGTGGTAGACGTTCAGGTAACTAATCTCTGGGGCGTTTTTCAATTGTTCACAAAGGTTTCAGGGATATGTCTCCAAGAGTACATCGGAAGCTGCACGCCTCAAGCTTGATTTGCGTGAGATCCAGAGTCGGACTATTGGAAGTCTCTCAGAAGAAAAAGTGCTGGCTGTCAAATGGAGCCGTCTGATGGATGCAGCTGACAAGGGACAAGACCACGGCTGTCGATACCAACAGAATTTTCTCTACATGCTCCAAGTGGTATTGGAACGGGATCTCCATCTCTTTACTTCAGACGAGATCGAACTTCTCGAGGCATTTCGTTCAATCTCGTCTGATGGACAGCGCCTTTTTGTAAGATTGGCTCAACGAAAGGGTAAGCTAAACGCCGTCGGACAAACTATGACTCAAGGGAGACTGGTTTTGCAGGGCCATGGTTCCGTCTTCAGAACATTTTCTATGAAGATATTGGTGACACAAACTCTGCAGTCCATGAGTTAGTCGGTACTCAATTTCTTTCATCGTGTACTTCATAATATGTTTGCTCCCTTGTAACAGAGGGACGCTACTTAGTTTTCGACGCGGACGTCAATTCGTCTGAGTTGCTTGAACATCTGACTGTACAAGAGCTCAAAGATTTGGCAGTGAACAGCAAAATCATGGTAGTTACTTCTAAGACTTTCTTCCTTGTTTTTATTTCTGTTCCTGCTTACAGATCAAAAGTGCTACGCTAAGTTTGAAAAAGATTCAGCTTATTACAGCAATTCGAGATGCATTGATTTCGCTGCATTTGTAAGTAGCAAGTGATCATTGGTTTTTTATACAAGCGTGAAATACTTGGCGGCAGTAATCTAACGGCTTTAATTCGTGAAGCAACCGGCCCATGCATTCGAATAGCCGAAACAGTTGAAGTTCTACTTTGGCGTTTACAGGTCAGTTGACATCCTCTCCAAAGTGTTACACTTGCTGGTGCTGAGCAATTTATTTATTTATTCAGAGGCTGTTCTTTCTAAACGGTGAGCAGGAGTTCCATGTTTTTCTTCTTGTGGATATTGGAAGGATCAAGTATCCAAGCTATAGGTGCGCTAGAACAATGCCAGTCTTTGCTTCTCGAGAGGACTTTCTGGCGTATGAGCAGGTCCGTTCCTACTGTGTTATAAAATTTGTCTGACCGTCGAGTTTTCAGGCATTGCAATTGGCTCAGGTGGTTGACATGTCTCTGGAAGCTGGTAATTCTGAGGCTGTAAACTCCTCTTTTCGAAAAGCAAGGACTACTCTCGAATTGATCAATGCACACACCGAGATCAAGCATCCATTTTTAGCACGATTTTCGGCTGCATGGGTGTATGCAACAATCTGTACTGTGGCTGCATCGTTTCTGGAGAAAGAACGCAGGTACGCTCTTTCACCAATGGCGAACAATACTTTTGAACTAAAACTGGCTCTTGACCAGATATGCTGAAGCTATAAACCTCTTCAAGCAGCTCCTTAGCATGCAGTATTGTCCTGGACGGAGAGGATACTGGACTCTCCGGCTATCTATTGACTTGGAGCACTTACAGCGTTTAGAAGAGAGCCTGCTCGTTGCAGAAAACGGATTAAATGATTTCAGCGTCCGAGGAGGGGATCGTATTGCTTTGCAACGGAGGGTTCTCCGACTAGGAAAACCTCCTAGAAGGTGGAAAGTACCTCCATATGCAGCGCTTTTAAAGAAAAAACAAAAGGTGGTACGTACTGTGTCTTCCAGATATTTGGCCTTCAGCTACAACTCTGTTTCTGAAGGTGACGATTATGGGAAGGCCGCTAAACAATGCCAATGGAATGAAGAGCAGATTTTATGGCTACGATGGGCAACAATGCAGTGTGGAGGACCTGGCACTTCAATACTATGCCGGAGAAGATGGAGGCGGCTGGAAAGGAGTCCATTCAGAAAGTGGCATATGGCTGACATTGTTCGGGCTGCTCATGTGGGATGTTATCTTTTCAGACGTTCCAGATGTCTTCCAGACACCTTTTCAGGTTCTTGTTTCATTTTCTCGTGGTTGCTCTACAGTTCTTGTTTGCAGACTGCACCATTGGACTTGTGCACGGATTCATTCTATCCAGTCCGAAGCTCGCTTATTGAATCTCGTCTTCAAGCCATACGCGATGGCGGAGCTAGGCAACTCGTGGCTGAGACTTGGGCAGAGCACTACGGGACATCATGTAGCGGGGTAAACTGGGAGAAGTACTCGCTTGAAGACCTTCAAACAATAACGGTCTGTATCGGAGGTCCAGGATTGTCGGCGATTTGCAAGCTTCTTGCAGAAGACCACAGTAACTGGACGGCTGGAATGCCTGATCTTCTGCTGTGGAAGGAGAAAGAGGCAAAGCTGGCGGAAGTCAAGGGTCCAGGGGATCGCTTGTCCGAGCAACAGGTGGCCTGGTTTCTTATTCTCTCGGACGCTAATGTTCCAGTGGAACTTTGCAAGGTCTCCAAGACGATGAATGATCGATCCTAGATCGGCTACTCCGAGTAGTGCCGGGGCCGAGACGGCTGCGCAGGCCTCTGCAACTTGCTCCGCCTTGCTTGAAGTCATAAGAACCGGTAAGCCTCTGCACTTGCTCCGCCTTGCTTGAAGTCATAAGAACCGGTAAGTAACTCCGCCATTCCATCCCGCTGTGGACTGCGAAGAATCCATTGCGCGCTACACACATCCAGTTCCAAGTCCTCAGTGTCACCATCTCAAGAGCTCTTCGATCAGGACCGCGAGTCACTACTCGGCCTCCACCGTCATCTTAAAGATCCTGCGGAGGGATAGGAAATGCGAGTTCCAAAGAGATGAATCACGAGGGATTCCATGCACCTTAAAGAACATCCGCCGCGACTCTGTCATCCTTGATGAGTATCCTATCGAACAATGCAGTTGCTTGCTCCATATCCCCACTGTGGGCATCATCGCACTGGGGCATCCCAAAGAAGATTTGGCTGGCGTGATGCATGTCTCGGCCCGAGCCAAGCCAGAACAGCTCGTTGCGGCATTTGCCTCGTCATGATGCCCATTCGGGGCATATGTGCTCACTATTGTCGTCCAGGTCACCACGTCCTGGCTTTCCTCGCATCAGCAACGCGATTTTCTTCGCAAAGGACCCGTAATAGGATGTTCCGAGAGAAGGGGAGTGGAAAACCTTGATCGCCTCGTCTGGCATATGTGATAGCAGAATGTGCATTGCCGGTACTTGCTCGCCAGGATGCGGGAGGATTCGAGTGGTTGAGATAGAATGACTCACTTGTAGCGCTATGCCTCGTGGAACATCGCTCACCTTAAAGGAAGGATTGCGTTCCAAGGAATCTGCTTTAGGTTGGAAGATGAAGGGCTGAATGTTTCCATTGGAATCTAACGATTGAGAAGATCTTCTTTCAAATAGATGTGATATGAACTCACTTCTGGTTTCTGTTTTTTCTCTTGCAGGCATAGTCATAACTGGTGGCATTTAGAGCTTTGTCATCTAGAGGGTGGTCCAGCTGAGAACGTGCTACGCATATTTGACACCCGTATATGGGGAGACCACGAAAGAGCTGAAAGGGATACATTTGCGGTAAGCTCTCTTAACAGAAAAATCCAACACTAAGTAATCAATAATGTGCAGGTGAGCTTAAACGCGTTGGAATTTTTGCTGTGTCTTCAAGTAAACAGATTTGGAGATCACATCACGAAGCTCTTTGTGGACAAGGTACGTGGGCTGGCGGCAATTTTTGAACTTATATTTTCCTTACTTTTTGTGTTTAGTCCACATGATTTTCTGGTCCTTTGGTCACTGGTTCGAAGCTCTTTATTGCAGAGGCCAAACAATTACTCTCATATTTGAATCAACGGTGAGAAATGTTGTCAAAGTGACCTCACTCTGACTCTCATCAGAGCATAAATGATCGGTTCTACAGAGGAGATTCACCAAACGATAGTCTCGGTAATCAATGCTGATTTAGTTTGTGTTTGTGTGCTCTAAGTTGTGTTCATTATTTTCAACCTATTAGAGTGCTTCGGCATTGTACGAGTATGGCTCCAGCAATGAAAGTGCTGTCTCTTCACTCTTGGGATCAAAATTTAGTGCTAGGGAGCTCAAGGTTTGCCTGTGTATTCATTGTCCTTGCTCTGCTCTCCCAGGTGATTGGAGCCTCGAATGAACAGATGAGAGTATTTGGACATCTGTGGGCAATAGCAAGCTCAAATCTGATGGTAACTTTGGTATGTACAGATTGATAATGGAATATTCACTATATAAGTATTATATTTTTAGAGCATATAGCAAATTGGTTACCAACAAGTTTATGTTTACTGTCCGTACCTACTTGATGGGATGTTTCTATTCAGCAAAGGCTGATCCAAACATTTACGATATGCTAGAACATATGACATAAACCACAGGAATATTCCAAGAATATTTCATGGCTTTAACGCTGTAACGCATTAAGGGTTGGGAGGTTGGCCTAGGGTTTACTCCTTATTCATTTCATTGGTATTGGAGTAACATGTTCTTTTGGGGATGGCAAATGAGTGGGATATAGATTTTGATAAGGAGTATGGCATTAGTGATGATGGTTATAATGATGAGGAAAAAAACTTTGATAGTGTTGTAGTGCAATCTAATCATTAGATTATTGAGGTTCAGAATGTCATTAAGGAGGTTAAGGATTCTATCAACCTCATGAAGGATTTCTTATTTCATATGGACCTTCTCTCAAATCCATAATTACTATTGGTATATCAAACATGTTAAGGATTATAATATTGTGGAATGGAAGTCATCACTAGATATTTGTGATACCTAAGAATTGATTCTTGGTTGAAATTGTGAGAAAGTTGTTCTCATAGGATAAGGTGAAGATTTATTTTTTTTATAACAAAGCTGACGGGCTATGCTTCTTTGTGGTGGAAGAACTACATTAAAGCTAATTATAAGCAAACTTCTTAAAATGATTTGAAAAAGATTTTCTACGCTTCATTTGTCAAGAAGTTTAAAGAGGTTAATCTTGTAAACCAGCTACTAGAGATCAAGCAAAGGACTTTATGTTTGGATGCATATGCCCATTAGTTCCATGATCTTTGTCTTAGTCTTATAGGTATCTCTAATGAGTTGTTAAAGGTGCAATGTTTTATCAATGGTTTGAGCTCAATGGATGTGCACCAAAACGTCAAGAACAATTTTCTAAAAACGTTGATTGATGCTATTATTAAGGCTTAGATCTTTTCACCAAAATCGTTAATCAACTTTGGTCAATGGGATGGTCTATGGGGTAATCAATGTGATGACCAGCCCGCCAATGTTTCATATTTAGAGAAGAAATAACAATTGCTATATCATGGCTCAAAGTATAGAGATGAGAAATTTCATTTGGACCAAGAAGAAATAGACAAGGTAAAGGGCAATTGTTTTCATTGCCACAAGGCTAGACATTGAAGGGGTTAACAAATGCTAAAGTGACTATGGTGGAATCTATAAACAATGATAAGCAATAATGTGAGTGATATTGTTATTAGGGTTATATTGCTTCAAGTTAGGCATTCTTTCACGGTCATGAGCCATAAATTTGATATTATATAGTGAAATTGGCCTACTTAAGATAAAGAGTTGTAAGTTGTGATTGTTGTTGTGAATGAATGGCAACATTATTTATATGGATTAGACTTCCACTAAAATAGTGAAAAGGTTTAAAAACTACTAAATATTCAATACAGTTTTTTTTTATATTAATTCTACATTTATTAGTATAACAATTATTATGGATTCAATCCAGTATTTCAATCATTAAAAGGACCTTCAAGGACACCTTACTCATTGGTAAAAGTTTTTGTAGGAAATGTCTATTAAGATCCAGATATAATGCATGTGATCATGGGATGAGATTTGGATATATTGTCACCGTGGATCCTTGGAACATTGGGGGATAAATGGGAATAAAATAGCCATTAAGGGCTCTCTCATCAAGCAATTGCCCCTTTTCCAGTTGGTTTAAGGGGAGAGAGATAGAGTGCGCTACATCAATAAAAGTATAAACCTTTTCCAGTTAGCTTAAGGGGAGAGAGATAGGGTGCATTACACCAGTACAAGTATAGAGGTAATAATAAAGTTGTAATACACATGGTTTTCACCCTTTATCCTATAGTGATTTACTATAGGATAACCATAAAACAAAACTTAAACCCTCTATATGCCATGTCACATAAGTAGAGCGGAACCCAAGTTTCAAGGCCTTGCGCAATTGAACAAAAAAACGGAGCCAAACTCCTAAATATGGAGCTAAGGAGCAAAAGAACTGGAGGACAGAGTGACTTTTGAGCATACAGCCCAAGGAGCGAAAGGACAAAAGCATGGAACAACATAAAATAGTCTTAGAGCATTGAGCATCCTAATGCCAGAACTAATACGTGAAACGAAGCCAAATGGAGTCTGATGCTATTTCAACATACTAGTGGCCTAACATAAGGATATGAGTATTCCACCAACTAGCATAGTATAAAACTTGGGCCCAGACCTAAGTTAGACACAAAACAAGGACATGCATACAAGCGAGAGTTAGATTATTCATCAAGTTAGTTAGCCATATCTGACCTACCCACTATCCCTACTATACATTTGGAACCTGGAATTTATGTATCTATAATGTGTAAGAGATGGCTCTCACAACGTATAGAACAACCTTAGCTATTACATTCTTAGGGCTTCTATGCTCCAACAAGAGTACTTATGACAACCACATCCAGAGCAGTCTTTAGATGATGATAATAAGGAACTAGCTTTTACATCCCTACAGAGGAATCCATGAATGACACTACCTTTGCAAATTCTGAGAAGAATCATTACCTTTACCATGTCTGCTGTCGTAAACATCCTGCTTGAACCTTAGAAACTGGTCAATCTGAACCGAAAGGTACAGTGGGACTTCGAGGCTGGTGTTCAAAGCAGTCACTCCAGAGACTGCAAAATTGACCCCATTGGCATAATTCGAGTTAATACTTTGCAAAATGGGATCAATTGTTGGGCGAGCAGAATGTCGACTTGATGTCGCTGATCATGCAGAAACGATGTGATCATTGTCTTAAAACTCGAAGATGATCTCCAAATAAGTCTCTTTATAGCCACACCTCGGTATACATGCTCTATCCCCCTCTCTCGCTAAGTCTTCTTGTCCTTCATGTTCTAGCAGGGAAACTTGACCAAGGAACAGCTTTAGGGAGGTTGAACTAATTAGTTGATTAATAATTACTTTTAAAAACAGATACGGTTCTGTGCGTGTGTCTCACTGCCCTTGCCACATGCCTGACCTCCATTGATGGCTCGAATTGTAGCTCCAAATCCTTGGTTCTGTGTTATTGCGGTGTGGCAATTCGAATTTTGCATCCAAAACCACACTGATGACTTCCACGAAAGGATGCCATTCTGAGCAACCTGGTCTGGATTTTGGAGGAGGTTCATGTTGAAAGCCTTTCCAGCAGCATCGTAATTGTAATTCCTGTATATATACACTTTAAATATTGAATATAACATTTTCAGCTTACCAGGTGAGCTGCAAAGGTCCTCTTCCATAGTAAGCCTTTGTACCTGCAGGACATGGGATCCCACGACGAGTGTCACAATAGACGTTGTTTCGGTTGATCTCTCGAATGTATTGCAGTGCTACAGCCAAGCAATGCTGTGGAATGCCCTCTGTGTGGGAAGCAAATACTGGGGAATGAACTTCTCGTCAACTGCCATCTTGGTTTGGATTTTGCTCTGTTTTGATTCAAGCACGCTGATCGATGGTTTCTCTTGTTCAGATACTTGCCTGCAAAGTGGGACGAAAAAGAAGAACAGTGTCCAGCATACACTCTTTCACTTCAACTTGTCGAAAAAGGTAGAGTACGAGGAAAGCGGAAACTGCGTACTAGAAATCCAGCAGTCTCCTCCGCTCGAGACTGGGGTCGACTGTAACCCGGCGGCAGGGTCTCCGAAACCGGAAGTTTCTTCTACTCTTGAAAGCTTTGAGGAGCCCGACGTGGCCAACGGCGTCCTTCCTGCAGAGCTCAACAGTGAAACTAGAGATCTTTACAATGGCTGCCTGGAGGCAAGGATTGCTGGCCGCAAGTACCACAGAGACGTCGAGTGCCAAGCTGGGATGCGAGTTCACCTGGTAAGGGAACCAGAAAATCCCATGGATACATACGCTGTGAAGGTAAACTTGAGTGAATGGACGTGTTTCATGGCTGACAACAACATTGCGCCAGGTGCTTACGGCGGATGGGCTTTCGCTGGGACATATTCCAAAAGAGCTTTCGCGTTATTTGTCTCCTCTCATGGAAAAAGGCATGGTAGACGTTCAGGTAACTAATCTCTGGGGCGTTTTTGAATTGTTCACAAAGCTTTCAGGGATATGTGTCCGAGAGTACATCGGAAGCTGCACGCCTCAAGCTTGATTTGCGTGAGATCCAGAGTCGGACTATTGGAAGTCTCTCAGAAGAAAAAGTGCTGGCTGTCAAATGGAGCCGTCTGATGGATGCAGCTGACAAGGGACAGCTGTCGATACCAACAGAATTTTCTCTACATGCTCCAAGTGGTATTGGAACGGGATCTCCATCTCTTTACTTCAGACGAGATCGAACTTCTCGAGGCATTTCGTTCAATCTCGTCTGATGGACAGCGCCTTTTTGTAAGATTGGCTCAACGAAAGGGTAAGCTAAACGCCGTCGCACAAACTGTGACTCAAGGGAGACAGTGGTTTTGCAGGGCCATGGTTCCGTCTTCAGAACATTTTCTATGAAGATTTGGTGACACAAACTCTGCAGTCCATGAGTTAGTCGGTACTCAATTTCTTTCATCGTGTACTTCATAATATGTTTGCTCCCTTGTAACAGAGAGACGCTACTTAGTTTTCGACGCGGACGTCAATTCGTCTGAGTTGCTTGAACTTCTGACTGTACAGGAGCTCAAAGATTTGGCAGTTAACACCAAAATCATGG